ATGTGACCTTGACCTTTGACCCCTTGACCCCAAAAATCAATAGGGGTCATCTACTGATCATAACCAATCACCATACCAAGTTTGAAGTTTTCCTAGGCCTTAAGTTCTTTAGTTATGATGATCGGAAACTGTTTTTCCTTACAAGGTCAATGTGACCTTGACCTTTGACCCTTGACCCCAAAATCAATAGGGTCATCTACTGATCATGAACAATCACCATACCAAGTTTTGAAGTTTCCTAGGCCTTAAGGTTCTTTAGTTATTGATCGGAAACCGTTTTTGCCTAACAAGGTCAATGTGACCTTGACCTTTGACCCCTTGACCCAAAATCAATAGGGGTACATCTACTGGGACATGACCAATTCACCATACCAAGTTTGAAGTTCCTAGGCCTAAGGGTTCCTTTAGTTTATCACTCGGAAACCATTTGGTCTACGGACCGACGGACCGACAGACCGACGGACCGACAAGTGCAAAGCTATATACCCCCTTTTCTTTGAAATGGGGGCATAATAAAATGTTTATATATGATAATTATGTTTCCCTCCAGGGCTTCCATTAGTAGAAGTTTGGGAGTCGTTTACTCCTGATTTTGGCTTGTGACTTCCAAAATATAATGCTTTCCCTTCTTCACCTTTATAATATGACGTCCATTGTCCGATATTTTCAGTCCCAATGACTTCCAAATTTTGGAACTTAATAAAAGCCCTATCTCTCTATCTGGCTTTACATTTTCACATTTGTAACAATGATAAGAAAAGACCATACTCGCAAGTATTTTACCCCATATAAAAAGTATACAAAAAAAATTTAAATTATATCATAAGAACTTTTATCCTTAAAATAGATTCTACAACATTGTCATTTGTATCTGCCTAATGGAGACCAAGATAAGTAGCACATCCAGGGGGATATTTTGCCTTATTTTATGCCCATATTCGGTCATATTCCCTTCGAAAATATATATTATTTTTCCCCAATGCCAACAGGGAAAAAAATTCCCCATTGAAAGTTACAAAATAAAAAATATTTAATAACAAATTCTAAATCGTTGAAAATAGGCTTCTTCACCTGATTATGAACTGTTTAATATAAATGCCTTCCTCTTACCTATAATATCTTCATATCAGATTATTTAAGTCTGACTGCAAAATTGGAACTTCATAAAGCCCTAATCTCTTTCTGCCATTCCACATTTTAACAATGATAAGAAAAGACCATACTCGCAAGTATTTTACCCCATATAAAAAGTATACAAAAAAAATTTAAATTATATCATAAGAACTTTTATAAAATAGATTCTACCAACATGGTACATATATATCTGCCTAATGCAGACCAAGATAAGCTGGACACATCAAGGCTTGCTCTGTCTGAACATATATATAAAATTTCCCTAAAAATGAAGAATGTTTTTGTCTGGATCAAAAGACGGACAAGTCTATTTAAGATAATTTAGCGTGATATTGGTTTAAATCAATTTGTATTTTTCACAACAAATATTTTAAACTTTGGAAAAATTTATAATGAAAACCTATGTTTTTTTGTGTTTTTTTCCAATAAAACACAAGAGATGCATTACGAGTACTTGTACGATAAAGAGTTTGACGATGATGTTCGACACAGAATGGAAAGTGAGACAGATCAATAACAGTGTACAATTAGATGATCAGTGAATTAACTTCAGATGCTGGATCAATTTGCAACTTATGAGAACATAATATATCAATCTGGGAATTAATCTTACAACTTATATATTACGATAAATTGTTAATTTACTACATGTATCTCATATAATTTCTGCTACTGTCAGAGAGGAAAACATATTTTATGAAATATTAATATATTAGCTCATGAAAATAAAGTTCAATTTTTTCAAGACACTTTGACATTTACAATGGTGAAGAAATTACAACTGTAACAGAGTAAAAAAAGCTGATTTTTTCACGACTTTAACATTATGATGACTTTAGTAAAAGCAGGGAAGGAAAAATCCTCAGAGCAGTTTGATTTTGAGGTCGGAGGTTAGACTCCTGAATGTAAATTTTCTTGTTATCAAATTTTATTTAATTTTATATCCATTCTTAATTGTTCAAGTTCAAAATGTATAGGAAATGCTTTAAATAGCCTTATACTCATTGCCGGGTACTTACATATATTATTATCAGAAAGAATTATTTCAAACTCCCCCCCCCCCCCCAACATAGTAAGACACTGAAGATCAATGAAGAAACATTTTATCTGCTCTATAGTGAAGGATCACTTAGGCTCCACTCTCTCTATGGAAAGAGGTCAAAGATCAAGTTTAGAGTGATTTGTACTATTTTATCAATGCAATTTCACCATTGTCAGACAATATATGTGATTAATTGTGTAGGTTTTTAGTACCGTAACCTACAATCATGTGTGGCTAGAACATAATTATGTACATGTATATATAATTTGTGTTTGTAATTTTTTTTTCTAATTAATTTTAATGTCACATTAATATTCTTGTTACACAGTGGTTTAGATCTGGATCAGTCATCTGCCATTAACAATGTCTAATAATACATGATCCATTTTAATTGATAAGAAATAGATGAGAATAAGATGAGAAACAGGAAATCGTAGATATACTAGTAATAAACCAATCTCTAGTTCATAGAGATTTTTCTAATTCATCATAAGTGTGCACATATTACTCATTATTTAACTACAAATAATAAACAATGGTTCATTATTAATTTCAACCTTATTTTATGTCAGTGACTGAACAAAATGCATAGATCCCTGCCTGTCTAATTCTAATTATCAGATAATTAAGTGAATACAATAAGAATTTCACCACAACATATTTGGTAACAAAACAGCATATATATGTTAATATTTGTGGTTAAATCTATTTTTATTCAAATTAAAGGTCAGAGTAGGGATCTATCAATTAGATTTACATGGAAAAATTATGAAATTTTAATATTTTAAGCATATGTCTCAAATTATCAAATATATAAAGAAAAAATATTCATTTTATATCATTGAGATTTATTTTATTTATTTATTTTTTGGAAGGGGAGGGGGATGGAGGTGTTTGTTTTTTGTTTGCAAGACAAGACTGAATCTCAATATGTCTACCTTGCTACAATAAATAAACTTAAATTTTAAATTTAATGAATCATAACCATTTATAATTGTTCACTTTTTTTAGATTAACTTTATACATTGTATTAACTACATGTGATAATTTCAATAGCACAAAATGCATACATGTACCATACATATATTAAATATTTTTGCTATGCATATTAATACATATCTTTTATGGTGAAATTATCTACCATCAGTCAACCATGCAGATACATGTTGATATACCATGTAGGTAAGACAGTCGGTAAATTAGTTATTCCTAAAGGAATGAATAATTCAGTATGAAATTGTTCTTTTAGGCATTACACATGTACTAATAACTACTTGTTAATTAATTAGACAGGAAATTTTATGCTGGTTCCTTGTTTGTACATGTGTGCTGTACTGAACAGGTAAAATTAGAACCAGGAAATAAAAAAATATGTTTTTTATACATCAATATATACTGTACTGGCATGCGAGCAGTTCCCGTACAGAAGCAGTACCCGTATTTTTCATTTAAACGCTTGATTTTTACTTGCATTCATCAAAAATTCATTTCAAATCAAGCAGATACATAACGAGACAGAATCTAGAGTGTCGTTCGGCAGTACGTTAATAAAGTCTCATTTTAAAATCACTTTCACCTGTGCTAGTCAAACGTGACCTTGTTTCTCTGGGATTACGTCCTTGCCGCATGCCAAAATACTTACACGTGAGGCTTGTTAAAGTTTTCCACTAATCACTGTTTACAAAAGTAGGCAATGTGATGAAACTTGTTTAATTACAGAATGTTGACCAATATATATATATAATAATTTTTATGCTGATGCGTAAATATATGCATACAAGCATGCTATTGCTGTAATGCGTTGGGTAACGTACCGTAATGATACCCCGTTTAGTCTACCTCTATTTCCTGAATTACATTTATTTATCTTTAGATAATGGTCTGGTTCAACATTGTTAATGAAATAGTCCGATATAATAAATGTATAATTATAATTTAGATTTTATGTACGGGAACTACATTCCTTATAAATAATGATAATTTCGTACCCCATATAGCCTCATAACTAAGGGTTATTCTATGTTTAGAACATGATGGAATTTCCATGATTTGTGTGACAAGCTGAATATTGATGTGTAACATTCAAATTTTGGTGAGTGAGCGTAATAAAAAATAATGTTTAAGTAACTACGATTTTTGTACGGGAACTGCTCGCATGCCAGTATAGCTCATGTTTTACACATGATGGTATTAAAGAACTAACTCCCATCATGCTGAGATGATGGGTTCTTTAATTTATGCACAATATGATGCTGACAGCTTCTCCAATTTTTAGTTTCAATTTCTCACTCTTTTGTCTGCGAACTTTAATCTTTTAAATTTTTATAATAACAATATTTTTTAAGACTTCCCTGACAAGGCGCTTACAAGCTATGGTCAGAACTGATTGTTTCGGAGTACATGTAATATGTAGATTTACATGCAGATATGATTCTGACCGAAAGTATCTTAGAATACATTTTTTTACAGTACTTTATTTAACCAGCTGAGTGGTGACATGTGGTTGCATTTTGGTTCATATGTATTGCACATGCCAGGGTAATATAGGTTTTTATTACTAATATTAATAGTATAAAAATCGGTTACTGTCATTTATTTTTGTAAAAAGTCTCTGCTGTTGACCTTTTGAGGTTTTTTAATTCTAACTACACCAAGATTTTTTGGCAAGAACTTGGAAGAAACTGTCAGATTTAAAAGTAAATGATGGTGTATCAATGGTTGTTATAATATAAAAATAACACTTTTAAAAAGTTGACAACTCAAAATATCACTTTGGACAAAATATTTATACATATTTCTATTACAACAACTCGGTTATTCTTACCAGTGGCAATCTTTCTTTCGGTTGGCATGCTACTAAAAGACACAGTCTTTTTTCTGTTGTGAGTTCTGCGGGTTCCATCTTTATTCATGAAACTGCTCTTTCGCGGAATAGGTTTCTCACATGATAAAGTATCCAAACTTTCCTGATCATTAGCACTTTCATTTTTAGATTCATCATCAGAATCTCCATTAATAAACACATCACCACCTTGCAAATCACTTAAATTTGTATCCTGGGCGAATGTTTTCGTTTCCTCATCCGCCATGTTGAATAATAAACTCTTCCAGAAATGGGGGTGTTAGAACTTAGCATAATTTCTCTTACATTGTGATTAATTTACGCAAAAGTCACTCTAACATTGTCAAATTTATTTAAAATCCTGTCTTAAATTTGGTTAATACAGATAGCTTTTCTTTCTTAAAAATTGTCCTATCCTATTTTACCGTTGAATAAAATCGGATCGTCCGTAAGTCAAAATTGCAAAATGGCGCCGAAGAAAGAGAAGATATTGACACAGTGACTTTTTATGATTTATGGTAAAACCAATTAGATAATGGCCGTCAGAACAATGCTTTTAAATAAGAATTTAAGTATTTTTTATTTTGCTGCGATAACGCAGATGATCAATGACTGATACGGGAAATAATTGTTGTCAAACTTTTTGAAGTTGTTGGTGAATTTGTTCCTAAACTAAAGCTAAGGCAGACAACTCAAAAAAATGAGCGAAATGACAATTTGTGATTGATATGCGAATAAGATACTGTTTGATATGATGTCAAAATTTTAAAACTTATTTTTTTTACTACACTGTCGTCAGAATATTCTCTCCAAACCATTTCCTCCCCTGACAGTTATCCCCCAATTTGACCTTAACTACATCTCTGCCCATATTGTTTGAAATGCCCCCACCAAATTTCAGCACAGGATATAAACAGTAGCCCATGGCCTTCAAGCTGTCTGTCTGTAGACTGGCAAGTCAATGTCATGTGGCAGCATCTGAGTTTTATGGGAAACGGACAAAAGCCCTCCCGGACAAAAGCCCTCCCATCCAAAAATGACAAGGCGGACAAAAGCCCTCCCGTGAAAATGACAAGGCAGACAAAAGCCCTCCCGTGAAATTGACAGGGCGGACAAAAGCCCTCCTGTGAAAATGACAGGGCGGACGAAAGCCCTCCCGTGAAATTAACAAGGCGGACAAAAGCCCTCCCGTAACAAAATATATATGTATGTTACATACATGTGTTTTTTTTCAACGCACTTAAGATATTAAATTTGTAACATAAATATTTGTTGATGTTTTCTATTGGTCTAAGTATTTTCATGAGCTTGAACCAGCTTTTATTCAGAATATACCTTTAAGAAATGTTTAGCGAGGTAATATTTTCACACGAATGTTGTTTAAAACAAAATCACTTTCTAAAGTAATTGACTTATTACAAGGTACTTGGACTTTTAATTTTAGTTAATTTTAACTTCTTTTCATCTTTTATTACTCTATTAATCATAATTTCACATGTGAGTAATCCTTCATTTTTACGTGAATAAATATGCACTTACAGATTTTGAGTACTTATTATTCAGATGTCAGTCAGGAATTTACTCAAGCTCATACAAACATTCTTATGCCAATGGAAAACAAAAATATTCATGATTACAATTTTAATATGTTGAGTGCATTGAATTGAAAATACAAACTATTCAATGTACATATATGTATTTGCTGCGGGAGGGCTTTTGTCCGCCCTGTTATTTTCACGGGAGGGCTTCTGTCTACCCAGTCATTTTTATGGGAGGGCTTTTGTCCGCCCTGTCATTTTTACGGGAGGGCTTTTGTCCGCCCTGTCATTTTCACGAGAGGGCTTTTGTCCGCCTTGTCAATTTTGGACGGGAGGGCTTTTGTCCTACACTCTCAAAACTCGAGTTTTATGGACACATTTCTAGTTTGATATCGTATATTTTGTAGCATTATTAGTAGAGTTCATTCTTCAAATATACCCCTTTTTTAAATGCCACAACCAGGGATATATTTATTTGAGTTGTATTTAATTAATTGTTCTATCTGTCTATCTTCCATTAATGTCAAACCCCTTCAGGGGACCAGCGACAATGCCCTCAAGCACTGGCCATCGCTAAAAAATTTGGTTTGTTACAAGTTGCCCGACCCACCCTTTTAACAGTGAGTCAGTAGGTCAGAATTTTTTTTTATTTTTCTTATATTTTAGTGTTGATTCAAGTAAGCATATGATTATATTTTGATAAAAAAAATGTGCATGCCTGGTGAGTCAAAAAAAATTTTTGAGTCAAAAAAGTTTATGAGTCTGTTGCGCAACTGCAAACCACCAACAATTTTTTCAGCTACGGCCCTTAATACTGGAAAAATGTAACAACAATGACATGAAGTACATGGCAAAAATTTACAGCTGCCACACAGCACTTGATACCTGCTGTTGTGAAGTATAAAAATCTGGAAAAGGGATGATCCCTCAGAAGCAATGCAACAACACTACCATTACTGCCATATATAAAAATTGCAGTTGGTTTGATTGATTCTGTTCTGACATGAGAGATATTTAAAAAAAAATGTGCAAGATTTATAATGCCCCCTACTGGCATGCGAGCAGTTCCCGTACAGAAGCAGTACTCGAATTTTTCATTTAAAAGCTTGATTTTTACTTGCATTCTTTAAAAATTCATATCAAATCAAGCAGATGTATGAACAAGACAAAATCTAAGTGTCAGTTCTGCAATACGTACAAAAATGTTTGAAAACTTTTTCACCTGTGTGTTGTCAAAACGTAACCTTGTAAACGTTGTGGGATTTCGTCTGTACTCGCATGCGCAAAAATATTTACGTATGAGGCCTATTAAAGGGCTTTCCTCTTATACCACCAGTATATAAATAAGTGGGCAATGCGATTAAAACATGTTAAGTTATCTTAATTTTGACCTATATTACAAATGAAATAATTCTATGGCTTAAATGGGGTAAATTCTCATGCATGCAAGCATGCCATTGCATGCGAATGTATTGGGGTAACATACCCGGTAATTGATACCAGCGTTTAGTCTACAATCTATTTCTTGAATGGCATGTATTTATCACTGGGGAAAATGGTCGTTGTAACAATTAAGAATGTAAAATAGGTCTGATAACAACATTGTATAATTATAATGGGTTATATTTTATATATGGGAACTACTTCTCTTCATACAAAATAATGGATAATTTTGGTTTCCCATATGAGGCCTCATAACTAAGGCTGATTCTATGTTTGGAACATAATGGAATTTCAATAATTTGGGTAACAAGCCGAAAATTGATGTGTAACAATATTATTTTTGATAAGTGACTGTGAGCGTAATAAAAAAATATTTTTAAGTAACTACGATTTTTGTACGGGTACTGCTCACATGCAAGTAGCACCGGCTTGAAGCAGTATTCAGTCTTCAACACTAACATGCTAGAATCAATGATCCAAAAGGACTAGAAAAATATAACAACACTGAAGTGAAGAATGGGGCAACTTACCTTTAACCTTACATATAATAAATTAAAATAAATAATTTGAAAGAGCTCTTACACAATTTTGCTCCCTGTTTTTCCCTATATATGATATCTAGTATGTACTGCCAACCCCTTGCACAAATATTATAGGCAGAGCTTAAAGTCACATTATGCCTCGGAAAATAGTTTTGCTTTCTTCGTAAAGGGCAAACATGGTATATATCATATAACAAATGGTCTTTATAGCATGTAACATGTCAATTGCTGAAAGAAAGGAGCACTGAAAATAAAATAACAGTAGAAAAAGTAAACTAAGTGGTATTTTAATTTCCATACAAAATACTAAAAATCTGGAAAGAAAGTGATACCTCGGAAGCATTAATCACAAAAACAATACAAGAGAATTGCAGACTCGGTTTTGATTTAGTCTGTACATGAGGGATAATGAAAATGTGCAACATTCCTCACACCACCTAGCACCGAGAGCGGTACTCAGAAATAAAATGGAAAGCATTTCTGAGGTATATTGGACCTTTAAGTTAAGTGCCTGACTGTTTCCTGGGTTTCTTAAACATAAAACCTCACCCTAGTGGGACTGGAACCATGACATCCAGATTAAGAGTCAGATACTATAACAGCTTTTCCCTTACACCATTCTTCAAGTTCATTCATATTTACTAATTCATCTTTGTATTTATGATTTCAGACAAGTTGAGAACTGTAAGATATTGTGATGGAGAAATGTTTGCATGTGTCCAAAATTCGACCAGCCTGGGATCATTCTATTCTGAACCCAGAAAAATGGCTTTGTTACCTCTGCCGTACAACTGAAAGTGTTTGGGTATGATTATGTTTATTACTTTCCTGCTCACTCTTTTTTTCAGAAGATCTAATCATTAAAGTATTCTCTTTGATACTTTGAGTTTGACGCATGCCATTTGTCAGGGTTTTCAATATCAGCAGGCCACAGGCCAAAATGACTGGCTAAAATCATCATTTGACCTGTTGGAACTCTTATAAGATATACAGTTTTCTTATTTTATAATGAAAATTTTCGGTTGAATTACACAAAAGGCCTGCCGGAATTTACTTTTTGGCTGCTGATGAAAAATTTATTGAGAATCCTGTTTGTTTTTACTTTATTTTGTTAGTTTGCTTAATGTGAAAACAATTATGGATGAATATATTTATTACCTATATTTTGTTAATAAGTCTTGTATTAATTGTTGTATATTTTCAATGTTGAAGAACATTTTTGCTCCAGGGAAATAAATCAAAAAAGTAATTTTTAAAGTATGACATACTATGGTATCATTAGTCTGAAGAATCTTAGTACATAAAGAATAATAATCGTGCAATCACAAAATTTTATATAGTGATGACATGTTGTTTCCTCTTAACTTTTATTAGTTCAGTTGTATGCCTAGAAAGTAAGGTTATTGTAAAAAGATATAATTTCATACATTGGTTATCTGTTTATGTTATAATATTAAGAAATTTGTTATTTTTCAGGCATGTTTAAGTTGTTCAAATGTTGCATGTGGCAGGTTCAATGAGAAACATGCATTGAAACACTACCAGGAGAGTAAGGTAAAGTTGCTGAATTGTAGCATTTATTATATGGCTTGATAAATAGTTTTACTATCTTTTTATAACAAAAGTTACTTCCAACACTTCAAGTTTTTAAACCATCTTTTACAAGGATCAACCAAAAAAAAAAGAGGGGATGGAATTTTTGTAATGAATTGGACAAACGATTTGATGGACTTTGATTTACATACAATTTAACTTAAGATACAGTTACAGACAGATACATGTGCTTTTTGCTAGCTTTCTGAAGCCAATTTAACAAGATGTAGGGTTGAGCTGATGATCAGGGTTCAAGATTTCTTCTTCATACAAAGTGCCCTCACTTCTAAAGTTTGATTTCAGATTAGAGCAAATCATTATTTAATGAAAAAACACAAATAGATAAAAAGAAAAGGGGGGCTTGCACGCCTGTATAGAAATATAAAAAATAAATATTATTTATAGTAAAGAAAGCTTTAAAAGTTACAACCCATCACCTGCTGAATTTATGTAATGGAGTTGTTCTGTTTTAAACAAGCAAACAGTCCCTTTGAAATTTAAAGTATGTCAATAAATTAAGACAAAAATTAAACTACCAACAATATAGAGCCTAGTCAGGATGCATGGATGTGCATGCTGACCTGGTTGTATACTGAGGGCAAGGCCTCATCAATTATCATTTAAGCTGGTTGAGGGTTAAGCCATATTTTTGGTTGTTAATGGAATAGAAATTTTTAAAGTTGACATCGGAAATCATATCAGCGCCAACGAAAACAGTTTTCAATGCATCAGAACTTATCTTTGCACCTCTATAGTCCATCTATAATCAATATATTTCATATACTTATTCTTATATTTTTTTTCAGCATCCTATCAGTATTGAAGTGAATGAAAAATATGTCTACTGGTGAGTGATACTTTAATCGCCAATTTAAATGTCGTCTTATGATACCGTTTAAGACTGTACTTATTTCAAGAGGAACTTTATTTCTGCCAAAGACAAGACCGCAGATTTAAAATCGGCAGAAATTTCAGCTGTTATGTTTTGTCTGTACATTTATATGTTACATAGTTTTCCACAGTGACATATTCTACAATACATTGCTGTATTGCATAACTGGCTTTTTACTTCAAATACACTGAGTCCGTTCCATATAAGTTTAATGAGGGGACGTCCTCAGATCTTAAATAAATAACAGTTACCTATTAATATGTTTTGTTATCCAGTTAAAAGTCATAGAAATTGTTTCATGAGCTTAAAAGTTGTGATTAAATTCATTGTTATGATTTTCTCACTTACTTGCACGGGCAGGTGACAATATCTTAACAATAGTGTTAATCAAGCCATCAGGAGAGTAAAAATCATCGATAAATGCTACAATGACGATTTGCCAGATTGGTACTTTGAGGCATGTCTTGCGTTTTCCTTAAGCGATGAATCTTTCTATATTTCAGTTATGCATGTGATGACTACGTGTTAAATGACAATGCAGCAGGAGACATCAAATTACTACGATCAGCATTAAGTGCCATAGCAACACAGAAGTTTACAGACATTGAGTCCAGGGGCAGAAGATTGCTTAGGTCCTATTCTCACTCAGGGGTCGTCCACAGGTAATATGATATCCCATATGTCACGCTTTCCGTTCTATGATAATATTGCGATGAAAGCGATCAAAAGAAATTTCGTTACAACACCCTATAAATTGAACTTGGTACTAATATTCAGTACTTTTCAGATTTATTTCTTTTGAAAAGTCATTTTTGTAAAAAAAAAAATTTGAAAATTGTGATATACTAAGATCTGTCATTGTTTGCCATATAGAAAATTAATAAATTAGTTGATGTTACGTATTTAAAAGTAAATGACAGGGAAATCAGCCTTTCGGGATCAACAATTTCTACTTTGTCTGAAAAATAGATTAAAAAGAAAGAAAAAATGAAAAAGAGTTTAGCCTTTTAACAGACAAAAATGTCAAAGGAAGTCATTTAACAGTACGAAAAAAGTTACAAAATAAGTAAGTGAAGTAAATGTGGCAGACAGTCTGTGTATTTATAATAAGACAGGCACATTATAGACTGTATCATTAGCCTGTCATAAAGTGCAAAACTTGTTCCTTAATGTAAGATGCTGGAAATATGGAAGATAAAAAATAGCCAATTTTCCCCGTAAATGGGGTTTTATAAGAGACCGATATGTCTGGGTTTGATTTAAGTATCATTGTCAACACTTTAATAATATTTTGTACTTTTGTGTATTATTTTTAAGATAAAAAAAACAAAACCAAAAAAAACCATGTTGGTGAAAAAGTAATTCACGCATTGACATTACAGTATGAACATATGTTCTGAAGAATAAAGTGTTTATTTTAATGTGTTTTAATGTGACTTGTAGCTTGATAGATTTTGTGATAGAGATACAGTCCTTCAAGAAAATTAATTAATATTGATCAAGAATTACAGTAAATGGAAAATTTAATGTTGTCATTAGCACTTTTCAGCTGAACTATTCTAAAATATAAGGAGGACTATTGTATATTCCAAGTGGCTGTGATTCTTCTGATGTTATTTTCTATTTAAAGTTTTGTGTGGAAATACTGTCAGGGCTACAGTTCAATAACCAATACATTGTACATGATTATAATTCACACATACATTTCCAGTTTTTAGACCTACTTCCGTATCTCATAGCTTGCATATACATGTACTTAACTTTCAACACCTGATAGAAATTTAATTTACCGGTAAGTTTTATACAGATTTTATTACAAAACCACTGAAAGTATTTTCTTAAAACTTCATACGTTTCTAGGGTCATGAATGTAAACCTGTCAAGAGTCCCATTCCTCGACCTTAGATTGTCTTGAGAATCAACTTATTCATAAAGATTTCCTAAACATCAGATTGCAGGTTTTTAACTTACTTGTTGTTGTTGTAGAGATGAAGCTGATGATGATGATAAAGTTGCTACAGCAGAATGGCACAGAAGGTATTACTTTTTATATTGTTTTTTTAGACATGATGGGACTGAAATTTTTTGTATCTTTTTTAGCTCGACTATTCGATAAGAATAAGTAGAGCTATTGTAGTACCCCGAGCGTCGGCGTAACCACTTATGTTAAAGTTTTTGTAATAGTTTAAATATTTTCAAAGTCCATTGACATATGGCTTTGAAACTTTGCACACTTGTTCACCATCATTACCCCAACCTGTAAACAGGAGGAGGTAACTGTATCAAGCATTTTGACAGAATTATGCCCCTTTTTCAACTTAGAATTTACGTTAAAGTTTTTGTAATAGTTCAAATATTTTCCCAGTCCATTGACATATGGCTTTGAAACTTTGCACACTTGTTCACCATCATTACCCAAACCTGTAAACAGGAGGAGGTAACTCTATCAAGCATTTTGACAGAATTATGCCCCTTTTTCGACTTAGAATTTACGTTAAAGTTTTTGTAATAGTTCAAGTATTTTCAAAGTCCATTGACCTATGGCTTTTAAACTTTGCACACTTGTTCACCATCATAACCCCAACCCGTAAACAGGAGGAGGTAACTGTATCAATCATTTTGACAGAATTATGCCCCTTTTTTCGACTTAGAATTTATGTTAAAGTTTTTGTAATACCTCAAATATTTTCAAAGTCCATTGACATATGGCTTTGAAACTTTGCACACTTGTTCACCATCATTACCCCAACCTGTAAACAGGAGGAGGTAACTGTATCAAGCATTTTGACAGAATTATTCCCCTTTTTCGACTTAGAATTTATGTTAAAGTTTTTGTAATACCTCAAATATTTTCAAAGTTCATTGACATATGGCTTTGAAACTTTGCACACTTGTTTACCATCATTACCCCAACCTGTAAACAGGAGGAGGTAACTGTATCAAGTATTTTTTTTACTATCAAGCACTAAGAATAGTCGAGCGTTGCTGTCCTACCGACAGCTCTTGTTTAGATTTTTCTACCATTTCATTTGGTTCTACACCAATAGCTTGTATATAAAGTTTCAGATCATTCGCTCACTCTGTTTTTTCAGAATAATCAATTTTCATTGTGAAAAATTAGCTAAAAATAAAAAGTTTTGCAACAATTTTAACTCAAACTGGGTTGAAGGTTACGAAGTACATATCAGATATATATTTTTCACATCATTCCTTTTTAAAGACGTTTTCAGGAGTTTTCATGTAGACATATAGGCAAAATTAAATTATTAAAACTGTTCAATAGAATTTCTTTAAACTTGGCATGTTGTTAGAATATGATAACAGAAACATAACAAGAAACAAGGAATTGCATGTTATTATGTATTGTACTCAACAATAAAAAGAACATAATCCAGAAGTAAAAACAAGAATTCATTTAAGTATGTATAAGTTATCTGCCCTTGAAATGACCTCAAATAAGTAGAAAAATCTGATTCAGAGGCAGATAACTCAAAAAACAAGAACGGTGACCCCAGTTTTTTTTTCGCTTAAAATGTTTCTGTTATCATATTCTAACAACATGCCAAGTTTAAAGAAATTCTTTTAAACAGTTTTAATTTTGCCTATATGTCTGTACGAAAACGTCCTTAAGTGCTCCAGTTGGTTGATCTGTGTAATATTTTCAAAATTTATGTTTTTAGGCTTTTGAACCTAACCTTTAACAAATTATGTTGTTATATTATATATTCTACTTTTGATAAAACTATTTGGGGCGTCCATGACCGAGTGGTTATTATTGTTGACTTCAAACCACTTGCCCCTCACCGCTGTGGGTTCGAATCCCAACAGGGACTTAGGATTCTTTCATGTGAGGAAGCTATTCAGCTAGCTTACGGAGCGTCGGTGGTTCTACTCAGGTGCCCGTTCATACCTGAAATAATGCACGGAAGGGCACCTGAGGTCTTCCTCCACCAGTAAAGCTGGAACGTCGCCATATGACCTATACTGTGTCGGTGTGACGTAAAACCCAAACAATAAAACTATTTATTTTAAACTCACCTGTTTATGGTTTTAATGATAGTTTAAACAAGTCCATGTGTTACTAAAACAAGTCAATGTGTTACTTCTTTGACAGGCAAAGATTGTTAGCTAAGGTATTCAACAGTTGGAGATTCTACATCCAGCGTGAGAAGTCGCGAAAGAGAAGATCATACGACAAACAACTTGTACAACTAACGGCATCATCATCATCTACAGTATTCAAGAGAAGAACCATAACTCCTGGTGTGACTGGGCTAAAAAATCTGGGAAACACTTGTTACATGAACTCAGTCCTCCAAGTATTAAGGTAAAGTTTTAACCCTCAACTTTTGAAAATTGAAAAAAAAATTGTAAACATCTTATTTTGAAATACTTACGCATACATGTGTCAAACATGCTGTTTTCCAATGTTGTTTAAAAAATTGATTCATGAAACCGAAAGAATTATCTTCATGATATGATTTTTTCACAGCCACATTGAAGGATTCCGAGACTTTTTCTTGAAGATGCGCTACAGTTTTGAAGCCAGCTCGGATGGTTCCCCCCTTGTTAAGAGTGTAGTAGCAACAAAACCAGCAGTAGTAGCACCAGCTGCAGCTAAACAATATGCGAGACAGACAACTGTTGAATGTTTTCAGGTTCTTATACACTCATTTAAATTTTTATTCCCCCACTATGTTAGTCTTTCTGTTGAACTGTCCATCCGTAGATTTACTTGTTGGAATGAGGGGGAGGGGTGTACTTGTCCTATGGACACATTTCTAGTTATTTATTCAGATTACAAGCTATTAACATTTATTTGCCTGAACTTGGACATTAAAGATCCTGTATGTTTTAATAAAGGTTGTTACCTCCCTTTATTAGTTTTATACTAATTTATTTTAGTTTGATTGTGTTGGAAGCTATCAGCTTATTGAAACACTCTCGAATCCGTTCCTGGAACCAACCAGTACTTAGCAATGAATGTAAAGTTTCTTGCTCAAGGAATCAACAGCTTGCCCCTGACGGGGTTTGAACCCACGCAGTCAGCTATCCTTAGATTACTAGTCTGACGCGTTTATCTCTCAGCCGTACCTCCCTTTATTAACATGAAATGTAAATTCGATAATATCTTTACAAATAATGCTTTTTGGAATTTACAAAATTGATAAATCTTCATCTGAGCATTATATTTATGATATAAAACCATAAACAATTGAGTTACAGGATCTTTGATCAAAGGAAATTATTCAAATATTATAAAAGAAGCACATTATTCAACAAATTAGTTATGCTAATTCTTTGTTTTACTGAAAGAAATAGCAAGTTTTCTGATATTTATTATTCAAAATTCAAAGTAAAGAAAATAACAAGTTATGACATTAAAAAAAACTAACTTGATAAGTATGGTACACCTGACAGATATGTGTTTTTTAAAAAATATTTTGTTACCTAATATACAGTAGATTTGAACAGGAAATCAATGGTACAGTTTTATGTATTTTATAGTAGTTATAAATGTGTAGAGTATACAATGTTAAGGGCAAGTACTTCCAATAACTAAATGATCTTAATAACATGGTTTACTATAAAAAATTTGTACATTTTAATGGTAAATTATTTCAGCATTTGATGTCAACAGATGGCCAAAAGCAGACTACACAGAAGAAGAAATTGAAGGGAGGTTTAAATGGTGGTTCAACTCAGTCCACTAGTTCATCTGTACGTCAACAACTCATCTGTGATGTGGAATCTCAGGGAAATCAGGATACTAATGTGTAAGTTCACATCTGTGGGGTTACCCTTGTCATGTTTTAATGCTGTGCTGAAAAAAAAATATATATCAGGACACCCAGCTTGATAAATGGATTTATAGACATCCTCTCAATTTAACTTGAAGTTGGTACAGTTTGATGGTTTATTATTTTATTTGAATTAGTAATATGGTAATATCATCGTAAGTTTCTTGAAGACATGTAATAAAATGTTAAGAACTATACTATATGTATATTGACTTATATGATAATGAGAATCAATCAACAGAAAAACATTGCATTTTTGCTACGGGTTATTACTTTAAAAGATGTATTTACCTTTTAACTTCTGTACATAGGATTTACATAAATTTGATTAAACTAATCTGCTCTTTAATTTTAGGGTATCATAGTACTTTTGTTGTTTGATGCTGTTGTAATATTACATGTGTAAATTATCTTGGGACAGATCATTATGTGGAGAACTTCATGGTTTATTTCGTGTATTATGGTCGGGTAAATGGGCACAGGTCAGTCCCCATGCTTTTTTGCGGGCAGTATGGCAGGCTATTCCAATGTTTAAAGGCTATGCACAACACGATGCTCAGGAATTCTTGTGGTGAGTGTAAATTCTTACCGAGAAAAAATCTTTGTCATTATTTGGTTTTTAGGATGAATTTAGATTTTCCCACACAATAGCTTCTTTAAATTTTAAGTAATCATGCATTGTTAAAGATTAATGCATTTCTAAAACTTAATTTAGAAACATTTCAACTGTGTTTAGTAGATTTGTCAGACAATTTATTTTTCTTCTATTATCTGTGTCTAACTGACTGGAATCTGTTTTATTAAGACTTTTTCAGAAGCGTTCTTTTAAATGTTTATGATTTATAATGATTACATGAAAATCAAAGATGTTGACTACTGTGTATTTGATTCCTGCAAGGGACTTTAACTTTGGATTATTTCATGTGAGGAAATTAGCCAGCAAGGTTAAGAAATATCAGTTGTTCTACTCCGGTACCTGCTTGTACCAGAAGTAATACATAGATGTGGCTCGTGAAGTCAAACTCCAGCAGTAAAGCTGGAAAACTTGCCATATGACTGTTACTGCGTTTGTGTGATTTAAACCCAACTAAACCGCCTCCATGGTCCAGGGGTTAGAGTCAATGACTTCTAATCCAGTTACCTCTCTGGCGTGGGTTTGATCTCCGGGAGATGCTTTGGTAGTTTAGCGCGGAGGAAGGTAGTCTAGTACTGGTGTAACTCTCCAGGAACGATGGTTAGGAAACTACTCGCCTATATGACTGAAATACTGTTGGGAAAAGGCGTAAAATGAAACAAAAAAACAAACAAAACAATTTAAAAACAAATAAACTTGTTAACTTGTTTAACACTAAGATTGAAATATTTATTTGACAGTGAGCTGTTAGACAAGATACAACGAGAGTTAAACAGCACACCAAGTCAGCCATCATCACAACTTCTAGATGATCTCTTCCTAGGACAACTTGTTAGTAAGGTACGTAATCTTGTTAATAGCTGTGTAGTTTTAACCCTTGAACATACATGGATATTCATTAAAGGAACTCGACCAGGGCCCAAAAGCCTCAAATCATAAAATTTGAATTTCTAATATAGACCAACTGAAACGCTTAAAATGGGTAGATATGCAAACAGTTTATAAAGAAAAATACTCTGAACTGAATCAAATATTGTATTTTTGTGCAATACTTAGCCTGTTTGGATTAAAAGGGTTTATACGATTTTCATCTTTGAGTAATTTTTTCACAACTAAAATAATTGTTAAGGAAAAGTGGAGCGAGAGAATGATCAGAAAAATTGTTCACAAGAAAGAAAAATGTTTTCAGTGATGCCATGTAATAAACCTCAGTGGAGAAAAACAAAATTGAAATCAGAACAAAGTTTTTCTTTGTTATTGTAATCTAATCCATGGAGAGTGTGATTATATGATGTATGATTAAAAATTTTGAGATGTCACTGGAGAAAATGTAAAAAATGGTTTTAGCTATTACTATGGGCAAAGATATTAACCAAAGTTTACAGATTTTATCCCAGTAACAAAAACCAATCTGAAATAAAGCATTGTTGACAATTTGAGGGATAGGGAATATCATGGACGCAAGTTAGAGTTTGATCCGATTTTAAATCATTTAATGAGTTAATAAGTTAAAATTTATATTTATTTGAATATTGGACAATTAGATAGATAAGGAACATTATGGTAAGCAAGTTAAAGTTTGATCTGACTTGAAATCAAAATGACAAAAGTAAAACACAAGACTACTGGTCTTGGACATCATAGGTTATAATTTGAGCCGCTTCACGACAAAACCAACATACTAGTGCGTTTGGGACCAGCATGGATCCAGACCAGCCTGCGCATCCGCGCAGTCTGATCAGGATCCATGCTGTTCGCTTACCAATCCTATTACAAGTAAAGAAACTGATAGCGAACAGCATGGATCCTGATCAGACTGCGCGGATGCGCAGGCTGGTCTGGATACATGCTGGTCGCAAACCCATTATGTTGTTTTTGTCATGGCGCGGCTCATTTATATTTATATGAATATATCTGGTATAATTTCTAGGTACAGTGCCAGTCATGTAAGAATATAAGTGAGACGTTTGAATCCTACATGGATCTGTCGCTAGAATTCCCAAATAGATATCAGATCACAAAACAGAATTCACGAGTTGCTGAAGATATTTGTCATATTACAGGTATAATCCTTTATTTACTTGTTGATTTGGTTTGTTTTTAGTTCAAATGGCTTAATGAAAATAATAGAAATACATGAACTTTTAAGTATGGGGGGGGGGGAAATATCCCTGTGTATTGTCAGTAAAAGTTAAGCCCTATTGAATATCAACAAATTTTATGTTTATGCTTATTAGAGTATTATTTGCAGTATAATTTGAAGGTTGTATTTACAACAATAACCAGTGTTTTAGCTTCTTTATGGTGGCATTATGACCCAAAACTAAAGAACAAAAAAAATTGTCTTATTTTGTTACATTGAATTTGTGATTTCTTAATGTCTACAAATATTTTCAGAAATGTTAGCTAAGTTTACAGAGGAGGAGCATCTTGAAGGAAACATTTATGCATGTGAAAAATGCAATAAAGGTAATGTAACTCTATAATTTATTATTATGTTTTGTCAGAATATTAACACGTAATTGATTGACTCTTAAACTGCTGAAACCGAAAGTTATCAGCCATTGCTACCAGTATATGGTCAGTCTGCACTTGTACAGTATGGCCAGGCTCTACTCTGTTGGTTGACCAACTTGAAATATCACCAAAATTGATAATGGCCATTAATGCACATTACCATAAATGGAAGTTGGACAAGTTCATTTAGAAACTTGGCGGGTTAGTGGAATTCTTTATGCTAGAATATAACAAACTACTGCTTAGAAATAATTTATACCTTGTATAATTAATTTTTCACACGCTAGATTCTTTCTGATGGAAACCCAAAAGTGATATGATCACTTTATGCAGATTTGGCAGACAACTAAATTTTTGTATATAATGTACTTGAGAGGTACATAATGAAAATTATTTATGGTTTGAGTAACTGTATTGAATGACAAAAGTATTTAAAAGATTTTTTAATGTGATAGCATAAACATATTTATTTTGGCTTGATTGCAAAACAAAGTCTTTTAAATTATATATATAAATCACTTTGCCATCCACTTACTGGACTAACAATAACTGGTTTATTAATAAGGAGTGTTGGCATAATGGTTAAGGAGTCTGCTGCTCAACATAGGGATAGTTGTTTGGAGCCCTAGGGTCACGTTCATGTTTCCCCGTATGACACCAGTACCGACTAGTTCCTGGAAGTGGACTTGAAATTTATTAATTTATTTATTGAGTTATTAATTGCAAGAATTTTTTTTCACAATTGAGCTTTAATAAAAATGTTAAAACTATGGTAACTCGGTGGTGGTCCATGTAAGACCCAAACCCTCCATTCCATGGTTCAAGGGCAAACACCTTAACAGTGCAAGCAACACCCCCCTAATCTCTTATATCTTGTTTAAAAAAAGGCTTAGACTACTCAAAAACAAAAGTTACCATATACTAGTTACATACATGTATACAAGGATACATGTATGTAAGAATTTAGATTTTGAGTAAGTTAAGGCAAGGGATAATCATATTGTATATTGTTACAGGTCGTAGTAAATCGGGGACAGTTTATACAGAGGCCAAAAAACAACTTATGATAAACGAGCTGCCACCTATACTACGTCTACATCTGAAAAGATTCAGGTAATATCTTGATTATAACTTTACAATATACTTATATTAGTCTAATCATTGACATATAACCTCACCTGTATCACTCACTGAAAAAATTTTTCATTTCCAATATTATATTCAAAGTCGAGTTGGGCTATCTTTCTCAAATTATAATTATTGTTACATATCTTTTATTATATATTAAAATTGATGAACATTTATATTTAGATGGTCAGGTCGAATACATAGAGAGAAGATAAGCACTCATGTGGCCACAGACGAGCTTCTGGACCTGAAACCTTTCTGCTCAAACCAGACAGCCGGACAGTTACAGTACCGTCTGTTTGGTGTCATCATACATCATGGTAGAGGATTCGGCTCAGGACATTACACAGCTTATACCTGGAATAAAGAAGCAGGTACACTAAATAGAAAACATATGATATATACATATGTACAAGTTCACAAACATAGATAATGTTCAGAACTATGGTTACAACACACAATTTGATCTTCAAAATTTTTTACTGAGTATTCTGTTTTTTCACTCTGTTTCATCCTGTAAGGTTTATTTACAACATGTGTATATGTGCTAAAGATATAGCAAATAGTTATTTGTGAATAGGAATGGGACACTTTAGAAGTTCTTTTAACAAACATAATAACACTTTCAGGGTTAATTATAGGAAAGATTTTTGAATGTAATGTTATGGTTTCAATGTAATTGTTCATTTTGTTTATTTCAGAATCTTGGGTAAACTGCAATGATTCGAGAATGATTTTATCAAATGTAGAGGACGTACTAACAGCACAGGCATATATTCTCTTCTACAAGGCAGAACATCCAAATAAACTTGAGAAACCAGTTTCCTTAACATCAGAGTGCAGCAATGAAACTGTAGCGTACAGTCTGAAATCTGAGGACACAGTCTGTTATAAAGATGAGGAAGAGTGTAATGATATTCCTGCTAAATCATCATTGTCGTTGTCATCACAAATGTCATCTCCTGTGCTGAAATTGACTCGGGTAAATTCACCAGCATCATTTACGTCAACATCGTCCTCATCATCATCTCTACCAAAGTTATCGCCAGCTTCTCAATTTTCATCATCGTCTCATGAAAAGCTGTCCTTGAAAGCAGACGGCACATTGTTGCTCAGTGACGATGACGATGTCACAAACTTAAACAGTTCATCGACCTTGAATGACACTGTACATGTGATTGATAAGGAGATATCATTTAATTTTAAACCAACAGACAGTCCGAGAGTGACGCGCAGCTCAAAAAGGTCCCTTGATAATTGTGATAAACAAAATACACAGAACTCGAAACGAGCGAAAAAATTGTCGTTTGAAACTGGTTCGTTCTATGCAAAATCTCCTAGTGAAATGCCTGAAAAGAAGCAAGATGAATCTAAATTAAACAGGAGAAGAACTCGTTCAATGAAAAATGAAAATAACTCTTCGTTATTGAAACTAGAAAAGTACATCGGTCGTAGTCACGCGCAAGATGATAACGAAACAGCTCAGCATATCAAAAGGCGGAAATCAACGTTCTGGTGATTGTATTGATGTATGTAGTGTAGAAAATGAAACATTAAAGGGTATAAAGCTATATCTTATGAAAGAAGTTAATTAAAATTTATCAGAAGTAAAATTATATTGTTTCCATAATCTTATGGTTGATTCCCGAAAGAGTTGTAACATAAAAGTCTCTTTTATTTAACGCAAATGAATATTGTAAGTATTAAAAATAGAATAAAATGTTCCGGAACAAAATATTATTCTGCTATTTTAAGTAGGGTTTTATCAGTTTAGCAATAATGTTGTGTGACATACACTGATAAGGCAATTTATTACCATATTCATTTTATACAATATATTATGCAATTTGGAAGTATTCTTTTTTAAAATTCAAACAATAATTAATGCAGCAGATATATAGCTTTATACACTTTAATGAAGGCTCAAGTAGTGTTGATAAGATGTTACAGTTAGTATTTTTGTATCACATGGTCTTTGTTCACTTGATACGTAATCAAAACCCTAGCATACCTAGTGTTGTGATTTTTGAAACTTTTAAAGTGTATGATTTCTTTCTGTATGTCGATATAATTCTAAATATAGAACATATTAATCATGTAAAATGTACTTCGCCTACATACCCAATTATTAAAGAAAATAACATGTAATTTATTGACTCTGATTTTACTTATTTTAATGCAGACACTGACAATTAGATAAATTCTGAACTAACACTTAATTATTTAGGCACATGTTTAAATATTACATGTAGTTGGAAGGGCTTTATTTGAATTTTATGCTAAACTAAGTGAATTTTGTACTAATTGTATAGATAGACTTTTTTGCTTCAACTTATAAAAATAATTTTATACTTTATATGACATTAAGGCATGGATTTATGATCACTTTTATTTTTGATAATCTTGACGACATGTTTATTAACAATTGTAAGTTTGACTGATTGTATTAATGTATGTTAACATTTTTGTATTGGTTATAAGGCATGTTGAAGAAAACAGTTTAAACGTAGATTTTATAGTATAACTTTATAAGAAAGTACTAATGAAAACATTATTGTGTACATGTATGCTAACATTTTTGTATTGGTTGTCCGGCATGGCTAAGAATACAGTTTTACTGTAGATTTTATAGCGTAATTTTATTAGAAAGTACTACTGAAAACTTGTTTTGGATCTTTCTTGAGTTTTCATGTAAAGAAAAAATTATTCATTACAGAGGCTGCAAGGAATAGCATCATTTATTTTGCAATGTTCCATTTTAAATTTATATATATATATTTGATTTTTTTTTCAAAAAGAGGGAGATTTTAGAAATTGCAATAAACAAAGAAGAAAGTCCTGACATCAAAAAGAGGGAGATTTCTTTAATTTGTGAAAATACCCTTATTTTAAGAAAAATCTTTGAAAATATGACTGCAGAAAGTGGGAGTCTCCCGCTTAAAGTGGGAGAGTTCACATGTATGTATTTGAAACATGTAATATAAAGATAAATAGTAGATGATATATAACAATGAAAACAAGTGTAGTATTGTGATAAGGAATGGTCATCTTAGTGCAGTAATGGGTTAAGTCCTTATAGATTTAATAGGAGTTAACCTGCACTTAGGTGACAGAATGTACTTAAATACGGTTAATTTTATAGAGTAGAAATTTTGTGTAGCATAATATTATGATGTAAGGGAAGTTGTAGGATAAATCTTGTCCTATTGACTCTGTACAATAAAAAAAAGATGCATGAATGTTGATTGTATTTCATATTTTTTATATAATGTAACTATGGAAGACTGATATATTACTTATTTCATGTAATGACGTTTTGCGAGAGTATATTGTATATATAAATGAGCTGCGCCATGACAAAACCAGCATAATGGGTTTGCCACCAGCATGGATCCAGACCAGCCTGCGCATCCACGCAGTCTGATCAGGATCCATGCTGTTCGCTTACAAACCCTATCACAAGCAAAGAAACTGATAGCGAACAGCATGGATCCTGATCAGGTGCATGGTCTGGATCCATGCTGGTCGCAAATGCACTTTGTTGGTTTTGTCATGGCGCGGCTCAATTATAATCTTTTACTAAAATAGTGATGCCATGTAGATATCTCAGGAAATGTAAGCCAGTATGTAAAAAAAAATTGAATACTGACTTCTTTATAAAAGTGCTCTTTTTATGCCCCCGCCATGTAATGGCCGGGGCATATAGTGTTACCCTGTTTCGTCATTCCGTCCTTCCGTCATTCTGTCATACCGTCATCATCAGTTTTCGTTCATTATCTTAGAAACTGTTGTACACATTCACCTCAAATTAGGCATATGGTTATGTCATGAGAAAATACAGGTCAAGTTCGAATTTGGTCATGGTTCAATGATATTTGGCAGAGTTATGCCCCTTTTACTTTGAAAATAATATGAAATTTCAGTTTCCGTTCATTATCTCCCCAACGGTACAACACATTCAACTCAAACTTGACATATGGATATGTCATGACAAAATACAGGTCAAGTTCGAATTTGGTCATGGTTCGATGATTTTTGGCAGAGTTATGCCCCTTTTACTTTGAAAATAATATGAATTTTTCAGTTTCCGTTCATTATCTCCCCAACGGTAGAACACATTCAACTCAAACTTGAAATATAGATATGTCATGAGAAAATACAGGTCAAGTTCGAATTTGGTCATGGTTCGATGATTTTTGGCAGAGTTATGCCCCTTTTACTTTGAAAATAATATGAAATTTTCAGTTTCCGTTCATTATCTCCCCATCGGTACAACACCTTCAACTAAAACTTGACATATGGATGCGTCAAAAGAATGCGCAGGTCAAGTTCAAATTTGGTCATGGTTCAATGATTTTTGGCAGAGTTATGCCCCTTTCACTTTGAAAAGTAATATGAAATTTTTCAGTTTCCTTTTATTATCTCCCCAACAGTACAACACATTCAACTCAAATTTGACATATGGATACGTTTTTGGAATGCCCAGGCCAAGTTCGAATTTGGTCATGGTTCAATGATTTTTGGCAAGAGTAAAGCCCCCTTTCAACTTTGAAAATAACATGAAATTTACAGTTTCTGTTCATTATCTACCCCAAACAGTGTTAACATATTCTACTTAAATTTGACATATGAATATGTCAAAGGAATGGACAGGTCAAGTTGGAATTTGGTCATGGTTTGATGATTTTTTGCAGAGTTTATGTCCCTTTCACTTTGAAAATAATATAGATACATCTTAGGAATAAGCAGTTTAAGTTTGAATTTGGTTGTGGTTCAATGATTTTAGACAAACTTATCTTTCCTGAATGTTGGAAAAATTTTGAACTTTCAGTTTCAGCACTCATAATTTTAGCCATTATTTCGGCTACAAATATGCAATATGCTATTTTTAAAAGGTTAAGACTGAATAATTTCAGTGCCTTGAACATTGTATGAAAATGGTTTGTGTTAACATTGAAAAGTTTTAAGGGCTTTGAACTTAAAATGAAAAAAATAATTAATGCACCATCTGAAATTTTGGCTGCATGCGGGGGCATCCGTGGCATGATGACACATTTCTAGTTTCCTTCTTCTTCACTAAACCTGACCGAGGATGAATTGTCTTTTTAAATTCTTCCTTGTTTGTATATGCACCAAAAAAGGTTGACCTGTAAATGTTGCTTGTATATGCACCAAAAAAAGTTGACCTGTAAATGTTGCTTTCGTTTTGTCTGTACATGTGTCTTTATTTTTTACATTGTTTTACCACACCTGTAGAGGTTCTGCTACCTTCCAATGCTAAATATTTTAATTGAACATGTCCATCTTCCTATTTTTGTACAAATCTATTCATTATTTTTAGGGCAAAATTGCAGAATGAATATTAATTGAATATTGTAACCAGTGCAGATTGTTATCGGACAGATGTGTTGGTCTGAACTGGTGGCATAGGTAGATTTAATTACAACCAGTTAGCTAAGGGATGACCAGAATGAATGACTTGTATTTTGTTGTGCAAGTCACGTCCGAGGTTAGCAAAAATCATCTTTCCTGTTCTGGCGCCATATAACTGAAATTGTGTTGGTGCACCGTAAAATCAAACAAAACATGCTTTCCTTCTACTTTACTTTCTGTGGGCTTTTTTTTGCATGCTATCTTTAGGTTCAAAAGGGAAAGTATATGCCTTGTTGGGTTTCTTCTTTCAAACTACCTACAATGTATAAGTTTGTAGGGCATGATTTCCCTAACAGCTTTTTTTCACACCAGATACTGTTGTGGTGATAAAACAACTTGTAGCTTTTACTGTTGGTGTAATAATTTAGATAAACAATTTTACAAAGACTATTCACACATTCTCATTACTTTGGATAATTTTATTTTCATATAGTTACTTACCTAATGATAACGATAAGAATTATCCATGTTGTGCTCACTTGTCAAGAAAATGGTAGTGCAGGATTATGTATAATAACGATTACAATATGATTTCTGAAATCTTGAAAAGCAGGTGCTTGGTAATTGAATTAAGAAAACCAATTAATGATTATAGAAGTAAAATCAATTAGTTCTATAAGTGACAGTTGTGTGATATTGGTACAGAAATAACTAGATTAGGTTATTTATACATATAATTATATAAACTGACCATGTTGACAATTAGAAAAATTAATTTGCTGTATGTCTTGTTTTGCTGGTGGGAACAGATAGGGTGGGTGTGGGGGGAGTAAAGGAATCACAGTGAAATGATGACAAGTGTTTAGTGTGAAGATAGGTTTGTTTTGTTTTTGTATTATTCTGATGCAAAAGTATTTTGTGCCTTCACTTTTCATTTTAGTTAACAACAAACAGCAAAAATATGCACAGCTTCCAGACTTACTAATGTTTTATTAAAAAATATAATTTCTTTTTGTTGATCAAGAAATCAAAGTTTGGTGGTTGGTTTTTTATGTGTGATGGAAGTTAAAAGAATTTTCACAAATCTTGTTGCTTTTCTTTTGTCTGTCCAAGGAATATGATTTTTATTGTTATTTACAGATAAATAAATTGATTGATTCTAATTTAAATTACATTCATGAATAAAATCAGGGAACAGTTAATAGTTTGGATACATCAAATCATTTAATAACAATAAAGAATTGCATAAATTCTGTATTCTAGCAAAAAGTAAAATTTCCTAAATCAATTTTGTGAAATTCTTCTATAGAATTTTAATGCTTGTATAGCTGGTTGCCCCCTAGACAGTATTGTTCTTATTCTTTAACCTGCTGAATTGGGAACAAAGCCTCTCTTTGAATTCACAACAGTCCATTCAGAGTGAAAGGGGTTTTAATATCAAAATACAAAAATATGATCTACCAACAGTATATAGAGCCTGGTCAGATTGCACTGAAGTGCAGGCTGGCCTGGCTCTATACTGGTGGCAAAGGCTAATTACTTTCAATTCTAGCATGTTTAGGGTTAAATTGAGACTAGTGTTTAGCTCGACTATTCGATAAGAATAAGTAGAGCTATTGTAGTCACCCGAGTGTCGGCGTAACCACTTATGTTAAAGTTTTTGTAATACCTCAAATAGTTTCAAAGTCCATTGACATATGGCTTTGAAACTTTGCACACTTGTTCACCATCATGACCCCCAACCTGTAGACAGGAGGAGGTAACTGTATCAAGCATTTTGACAGAATTATGCCCCTTTTTCGACATAGAATTTACACGAAAGTTTTTGTAATACCTCAAATATTGTCAAAGTCCATTGACATATGGCTTTGAAACTTTGCACACTTGTTCACCATCATGACCCCAACCTGTAGACAGGAGGAGGTAACTGTATCAAGCATTTTGACAGAATTATGCCCCTTTTTCGACTTAGAATTTGCATTTAAGTTTGCATACCACCTCAGATATTTTCATATTCTATTGACATCTGCCTTTGAAACACAGTGGACTCTCTTCAATACCTATAACTCTAACATGGATTTAAAGAAAAAATTTGCCCTTTTGTTAACTTAGAAAATTTTACATTATCAAGGCTTTTTTTACTATCAAGCACTAAGAATAGTCGAGCGTTGCTGTCCTACCGACAGCTCTTGTTTACTACATTATAGCACTGAATCGATTTACGTTTAAATATGCACTTTATGTTTTGTTTTTTTCCTTGTACATTTATATGCAACACTATTGAGAAATTTGTGTTAATACATAAAAAAAACTTACACACAGGGTATATGCTATACTAAAAAGTGTGCATAGAATATAAATACATAATTGACTGAATAAAGTTTGTAAAAATAGAATAATGTAAATTTATTATTCTTTACAAAAGATGCACATCAAAGGTATGTATTATATTACATGAACTGTGCGTAAAGCTTTTTTGAAGTGAGTGACATGGAGTGGATGGGTGTTCCTTGGGTAGAATATGTGGTCAATACTGACAGAGAATCCAGGAAAACACAGCTTGTGGTATTAGATTTTAACTGGATGACATTGGAAAGTTTCCGTTGAAGGTTTTGTATGCATGTTGTGTCTCCTTCACAACCAATGTTGACCTTCATTTTAAACGTTACACATTTTGTTGGAATCTGCAGAAAGTCACTGACAAATGTCCATTACTCGATCATGTATTTTTATTGAATTATTCCCCTTCGCTAAACATTAAAAATTCTGCTTAAATTTTGAGTCACCACAACAACTAAATGTATTCGTTTAAAACATTGCACATGCCTTCAATGTCATTTATAAAGGCTCATAAGGCGTCGGCTAGCGTTATTTAATGGTATATTTCCTTTTTATTAACTTAAAAAAAAATATTGTTCTAGACTATTGTGCAAGTTGTATTAACACAGTCAGTGATAGTATTTACGCCAAACTTAGCACTAATAGAGGGCAAATCCACCTTTTCTCGTGCGTCTGCAGAAGCATGCACTTAAAACCCGATTCCGTAAGGGGTTTGATAAAAACTGAGGGCTTGTGCAGATGTTTATGCACAAAAGAAAGTGCATTAACTCTATTCTTGCACCTTCGTAATCTATTTGTCGTACAAAGAAACCATTTTGTCATGCTTTCCACATGCTAGTGATAAAGAAAATATCGGGGCCGTCAAAACAGTTAACTTCATTCTACGCCAGGAGTCACGCATATTAAAAAGCGCGCAACAACGGCTCGTGCTCACGTACTTTTATATATATCCGTTCATGTATACCTGCATGCGCTATTTTTATGCGCGAATCTTTTTTATGCAAAAAATAGACAACGGAACGCGGAAGTACTGAATAAAACAAGAATAGCGCTAATGCACATTTTTTGTTGTGTATTAACATCTCTTCTTATTAAATCCCCCGCCTTGCTGGCTCGGACTTTAACGGGTCCTGCTTCTGTTTCATGCGCCAGAAAAATCGGTAGTTCTTCCAATGAGCTCATACTAACCTGAAATAATGTCTGTCTAAATTGCATTGCGAAACACCTCCGTCGGATACCAACGGTAGCACATTAATTAATATTGATTATATGTTGTGTTACATGTTAATCAACCGTGCCACGGTGGGTATCCGACGATGTGCGAACATTCAGAAGACAGACATGTACATCGGCCCCCATATATATATACAAGACACAGAGATATATAATCTAAGGGAGATCACTGCAACTAGTCAAATGTGGAAATAACGAGCATGCGATATCCTTCCTTAGTTTGGTGCTATATTCATAAATTTTATGTACACTAGTCATTACCAGCGACAAACTTTATCTCGAATGGTATAATAATTATTTTCGGGGGAAAAAAACTTCGGCAACAATTACACACTTTGGTAGAAAATATACATTTAATTGAATATTCGGATGGGTATACGAAGGGTGTTCAAATATGAATGAATAGGTCATTTTTAAAATAAGTTCCGACAAATAACAATGGTATTCTCATGAACATACCGCGCTCGTTGTGACGTGATACTTACGTGACCCGTGACATTGGATATGCAGTGAAGAGCATAAAAGTGTTAATGACCCGTGGCATTGACAATGCGAAGAAGATCAGATCATTGCATAAAAGCGTTAATGACAAGTGGCATTGACTATGTAGCGAAGAGCATAAAAGTGTTAATGAATATGCAGTGAAGAGCATAAAAGTGTTAATGAATATGCAGTGAAGAGCATAAAAGTGTTAATGACACGTGGCATTGACAATGCGAAGAAGATCAGATCATTGCATAAAAGCGTTAATGACAAGTGGCATTGAATATGTAGCGAAGAGCATAAAAGTGTTAATGAATATGCAGTGAAGAGCATACAAGTGTTAATAGCATAAACGTGTTAATGAATATGCAGTGAAGAGCATAAAAGTGTTAATGACTCGTGGCATTGACTATGCAGTGAAGAAGATCAGCTCATTGCATAAAGTGTTAATGAAAATGCAGTTCGGGGTAATGTTATTTTAGTTAGTATGCTTAAAGTACATATTTAAAGAAAATGCTACACTGTATATCAGTTGTCAAAATTGGCAGTATTTTAATTGTCTTGGCAGTTTTACATATTGTTTCTGCACATGCTAGTGTACTACAAAACATGCATTTGTTCCAACAACCGATTGTTTCACGAGGCAGATTATTATTGTCTATTCCGTCATACCATCACTCTTCCTCTCTGCAGATGATATGATTGTTTTGTGTTTTCTTTCATCTTTCGTCGCGGTTCTAGTTGTAGAGTTGGCAAGTTGCCTGTAATAGATTACACTCTTAATGCTTATCGCATCAAAAGTGAAACAAATAAATAACATATCTTCTCATATTATTGTTTTAAATGATCAATATTGATGATATAAAGATTCATGATCATTAAATTCATGATCATTCATTCATAGACTATACAAAAATTTGCAAATACTGAGCTGTTAAAACTTAATATGCGGAAATCACAATACTTATCAAGGATCTATGTCAAAATAGACAGTTTATATTAAGTTTATGTTCATGTATTTATATATATTTACTTTTAGAAAACAATTTTCATGTAGAACATCTTTGTTGCTAATATAAGTTCTTTAACCCTCAAAAGCATTTATATTCACTTCTACATTATTATTTCTTTAACTGACACATCCACATTACATGGCCTTACCATAATTCTTCTGGTGGCAATTGATTTTACACATATGGCCAGTGCAGACCAAGATCAGCCGTGACGTACTATTGTTATTTTGGAAAAGAAGTAAATGAGTTTGTATAGATTGACAATTAAGGTATTCAGCGTTATTAGGTAACGCATTTTGCCATGTAAGATTACCAGATTTATGCAACGTAAGTACATTTAGGATTATTCACCAATTTCTCACGCCCGCTTGTATTTTCCGGTTGTGTAGAAATATACTCGTTGCTGTTAGAAGCCACCGTTACCATATTAATCATAAAAAAATACAATTTCACATAGAAAAATGTCAGTTTATAACGTGATCTTAAAGTATCGCGTTAATTCACGTAACGTTACTGTCCTGAACGAGACCGCGACGTTTCCAAGTAAGGACGTCAGTATGCTAGCATGCCAGATGTAACAGATTAGATAAGCTTTCAACCTTAGAAGATTCCATCATTTATCAACTCGAATGACAAGGTAAGTATTCTTATTTAGAGTGTTTCAATTATAATGCCATTACCAAGAAATGTCGGCAGAAACGATCAGAATTTGCCGGAAAACAAGTAATAAGAACAAATGCGTTATTTCGTTTGGATTTAGTTTTACAAAATATTGTCTCGGACATTAGACATAACAAATGGTGTTATTTTTAGCATTCTCAAACAGTTAACCAGTATTGAATAAATGTGCAGTATAAACAGCTTTCCAGCCAAAATTATGATTAAAATGATTGTTTTGTTATTCAAGTCAAAGAGAAAAACAGAATCCCTAAAGAAAGCCCAACACGGCAAAATTGTAAAATGTCGCATGCTCTGTTTGATTGGGCCTGTTCATACAAAGCCATTTTAGAGATCGGTCCCATTTATTCATTTCACTTCTAATTTAGTATTCGGAACAAGTATTCCTAACCATGCAGTAATCGCACCATTGAGAGGTTAAGGAAGCTGAAAGTGAATATCGCGTCTTGTGTGATTCGAGGTCAACACATTCGGATGAGAAATAAGGTGTTCTATCCCTATACCACTGTCTTCCACAAAATAGACCCCCATTTTAGTGTGACAAATATTTTTACTAAATTGATATTAAACATCGAGGCGATATATGATAATACACCATAAAATTTGGAACGGATTCTTGTATAATAGAAAAAGCAAATATTTTTTTTTATTCAGTATGTGCATGAACACACTTGCTGGAACATTTCAATGATAATGAAAACTACAAAACGAGTTCCTATTGGTCAACAAACACAATGACGACACGTGACTTTTTTGACGACGTCTCTAGACAACGCAAATCATTTTAACGTCAAAATAGTTTCACTTAGAGATAGGCGTTTATTATAGAATGTACAGTGTAATTGCAGAATTTGTATTAAATATAATAATAACTGAAGCATATAGTATTTCTTGCAGAAAATGAACAGGTAAAATGATTTAGATTTATTTTAAGCAAGTCATTTATGATGCCGTAGTAGTTACTTTAGATTTCTCTATCTGCTACTGCTGCTTTTTACCATACATACTTTTTTAATTTGAAACCGTTATATATTGGCGGTTTACCACTCATATAATTTTAATCTGAAAATGTAATGTATATGCGGTTTTAGAGATCATATAATTTTAATAATTTGAAAATGTAAAGTATTGGTGGTTTACCATAATTTTAATCTGAAAATGTAATGTATAGGCGGTTTTACAGATCATATAACTTTAATAATCTGAAAATGTAAAGTATTGCATGTGGTTTACCATAATTTTAATCTGAAAATGTAATGTATAGGCGGTTTACCAATCATATACTTTTTATATGATGCTGTAATATATAGACGGTTTACCACTCATATAATTTTAAGCTGAGAATATAATGTATATGCGGTTTATCGATCATATTATTATTATTATTATTATTATTATTTTAATAATTTTAATCTGAAAATGCAATGTATAGGCGGCTTTAACGATCATTATAATTCAATCTGGAAATGTTATATATAGGCGTTTTTCCACTCATATGAATTTAGTCTGAAAGTGCTATGTATAGGCGGTGAAAGTGCTATGTACCTATAATATAATTTTATTGTGTGAAAATGTAATTTATGAGCGGCTTTTACCTGTCATATAATTTAATCTCAAAATGTTATGTATAGGCGTTTTTCCATTGATATAAATTTAATCTGAAAATATAAAATATAGGCGGTTTCAAGTCTAAGATTAACCCTTATCCTGATTGATCCGACAGACATTAACCTTTGTCATCAGTATAGAGCCAAGCCAGTCTTCATTTCTGTCCAATGTGACAATGCTCTACACGTTTGACTGACCCAATTTTCAAGTTTCGTCATTGATGATGAGACAGTCCAAAATACGGAGGCTGGGATAATCTAAGAGTATCAGCAAGTAAGGGTTAAGAAAAAGATTAAATTAAACCATTTTCCTTCAAAGCACAGATGGACGTACCGAACATATGTCCTGAAATGACATGATATGCCACGGTATTTTAATTGCACTGTCCACCAAATAGCTTCACTTCTTTACACTTTATTTAAAACTTAAATGTCATGCATGTTTAAAAATCTATTCTTCTATCCACTGAAAATAAACTTGTAAATATTTTTTTTTAATTTTACAGATTACCTGATTCAAGAAAACCTACGCAAGGTAAGATACACATAATTCTCAGTAAAGTAACCGTACTCTCTATATGATAAAACTGCTTAACAAAGAAATATTAACATAAAATCAGTTATATCGAGCAATCATCGTTTATTTTGTTATTTTCTGTTGCTCTTTACTTAAACACTGTTTACCACTACTTAACAATTATCAATTATGTTATACTCACATTCAGGTGAAGGAGTTGAGGCGAATATAGGGATTTCACCAAGACTCCAGCCATTGTCACCAAGGAAATCAACACGACTTCCACCGCTCAAATCTCAGCGACTACCAGACATAAACCCTATTCAACCATCTAATAAAGTTTCATTACTTGCCACAAGTGCTGATTTACAACCTAAAAGAGAGGTAAAGGAAAAAGATGTATTCAGCCGGAAAGGAGTAAAGTGTGATTATAAAGCCCCTGTTATATCAAACAGAAGAGAAACGAATGAAAAAGTTGTCAGCAAAATCATTCCTGTCGTTGATAAGCGACATAAATCCAATGATACACAAGTAGGAAAGTCAAAAGATAAACTTCACAAAACTGAAGTTATTGTAAAGCACACTGACAACATCCACTTGGAAGAAATAAAACGTAACATTTCACGAGTAGAATCACAATCAAAATTAGTCCCCACCTGCCCTAAAATCCATCACGTCATTAACAAAGAGGTCACGTGGCAGAAAGAACGAGATCTTCTTAGGAAACATAGAAAACAGCAGGCGCAACGGATGAACATGAATAGGCAACCAGTAAAGGCTGTTACATCGTATGATAAAACTGGCAATGAAACAAAGCGGCTATGTCCAAAAGAAGGTAAAATCCAATTAAACGTGATATCTTTTGACTTCTGATGCCCATTTGGGTGTTGTGGCTATTGGATATTGTTGGGAGGGGCTTTGTCTTGCAAATGTTGCTCTCATTTTCTTGCAAATGTTGCTCTCCTTTTCTTGCAAATGTTGCTCTCCTTTTCTTGCAAATGTTGCTCTCCTTTTCTTGCAAATGTTGCTCTCCTTTTCTTGCAAATGTTGCTCTCCTTTGTTGAGCTTTAGTTTCATATTTGTTTAAAATTACAAAACCAAAAGTTTGTAAAGTAACATGTCTGTGTATCCGCTTTTATCTTAAATTGTTAAGGGAATTAATGATAGGTTTAGACAGTCAGATTTTGCATTTGCAGGAAATTTTGGCGACAACCATTGTTATGTGTTTTTTACCTATCTATATGTTTATATATCTATCTTATTGAAGCCAAAATTTTAAATTTATAATACAGAACATTTGATTAAACAGATATGCAAGAGCTTTATTAGTACTTAATATTAAATTAGAATATTATTAAACTGTTCGTTAATAATTTAATAGATTATTCATAATATAATTGAATAGTGTTATAGTTTTGCTAACATTTTCAATTTAGGAAAGTCTGTTGGAAATCATCGAGCGAGCGAAAGACAGAAGATAGATCTGTCTGTCCGTCGCAAATGTGATGACGACGAAGACTGGGACTGGGATAAAGATATTGAAGAGTTCCTGGAAATTGAGGAAAAGCAGAAAACCCGTCAGCTATCAACTTCCGGAAAGTGCACACCTGCATCAAATGGGGCAAAAAATCAGCAAACGCCAGTTATTTTGAATTGCACAAAGAAAGGATTGGGTTTTAAATCAAAGAAAAGAATAGAAGAGGAAAAGCAGCAGGAGTTAATTAGAATAGAAAAAGAGAAAAGGGAAAAAGAGCGAATAGAAATGATGATCCCACAGAAGATAAGGAAAGATTTAAAGAAGTATGGTTTTCGATAAAATCATTATATTTTTGAGATATTAATAATTAATTTATATGAATATAAGTGAAATGATTTCACGACAAAAAATAAATTGAAACGTAACCAGTTTTTTGAAAAATAAATTTGCTGAAACGTAATGCGATTTTTGAAAAAAATTGCGATTGAACTTGACAGCGGAAGAAGCATAGAAAATATTACTTTTGCATTCAATAACAAACAGAATATTGAAATGTTATTTATTTACTGTTTCACTGTGGGACTTGTGCATGAATCTGGAGATATTTTACATGGAAGAATCACATGTGTTTTAAGACATTGGTGAGGTTTCTACATGGAGAGAGATACTATTTTCTTTTAAGCAATTGGCGAGGGAAACCTGTCACCGTGATGATACTTCATGACAGTAACGTTGGCAATTCTGTTAAACTGACAAATATTACTTTAAGAAAAAACGATGATGAATAAAAGGTTAATATCACATCTTCAATAAAATTCATGCAAACATGAGACGGAGAACATCAGAATTTAAATAACAGATCAATTCTGATTGAAGAAAACAAATTTGGTGAATGTATAATGTTTGCCAAATATGACGGCAGCGTCGGAGTAATGGCCAAAACCGTTTTTGAACTTTAATATATAGCGAGTTGATAAAGCATTGAAATGTGTAAATGATATTGTAATGTTAAATTGAATATTTATTTACTCAAATCAGGTAATTTGAGTATATTGAACAAAAATCAGAGAGTGAACAGTTTACTCAAGATTAAAAAAACTAAACTACCATGCATATTCTCCAGTATGATTAAAACGCTAATTTGTATTTGTCGTAGTTTTCGGCCTTCTCGACTACTTTAGTCTATATATTAGTAGTGCTTTGTATTTTACATGTTGACTCAATTGCCATAACATTTCTAGTTATTATTGTTATGTATTTTTGTATTGCTTTTTTCATGTACGTTGATAACTCATTAAATAAAATATTGCTTCCTTGAAGATTGTTTTTATTTATTGTTTTTTTATTTATGACCAAAATTGATGATTGTTTTTTTTTTTTATTTATGACCAAAACCATATTTTCTAATCTATAAATTGTTATATGAAACATGTATGACACTGTTGGTACAGAAATATTGAAACATAATATTTATATACCATGAAGTATAAACACATGTTATGCCGGGAAAATCTTCAAGATTCACAAATACATCTCACGTCAACGCCTTCAGTTAGTTCTGTTTATAATTTAAGCTGGCATATTTTCAAGACAATATTACGGAACAGCCTCGCCTCACTTTAAAGCAGTTTATAATGGGAAAACATAAAATCAAATGTCAATTTCCATTTCTACTGGAATATTAATATCTTAAGTTGAAGATGTTATATTGATATTGTAATTGATGATTAAAAGTAGATCTTGCTATTTTCAATTTAAAAGTTCAATATGGCTTTACAAGAGCTTACTTCTAGAGTCTACAGATGATTTCAAGTATCCAAAAAGTAAAGTAGCTCGTATCAGTATAATTTGTGAAATAGCTTGTTTATATCACATGTACTCATATTTTATTTTCAAAACAATTAAACAATATTATGATAATGGTGAACGTAAATGTATACCAGGTGGTCTCTCTTTTTCTGTCTCTCTTTCTCAAAACACTGTCTTATGAAAACTGTCTTCTCTCTAACTAAAGACTTACTGGTATTTGGTTCTAAACCTCTGTTGCTGACTGGTTATGATCGCCGGCTTCGAGTCTCTTGTTCATGTAGCCCTTACCGGGACTAAGAATTCTTTCATGTGATTTCAAGCACACGGAAGGTCGGTAGTTCTACTACGGTGCATGATCGTGCATGAAATAATGCAATGTGCGACACTAGAGGTCATTCTCTACCTGTAAAGCTTAAAATTCACGGTATCATCTGAACAGACTTAGTGTTGGTGCGACTTATCTCTAGCCAAATTATGCAAATTACTTCCGCGTATGAAACAATTAAGCGTCTGTTTTCCTTAGTTGCAAGAGAAATACCAGTTATAGTTAGCATTTCACGCCAATTCTAATTTCGTCGAGGCAAAACGTAATTTTTCGAAATAACTTGAAAATATGGGATCTTTATTTAAGTGGTATTTCAATTAACTTTGTTCTTACAATCCTACATTTATGAAAATCAACAGTCTGATAATGAAGACCTGTTATGACGAGATAAGACAATACAATGAAGATACTTTTGAGCATATTTATTAAATATTTCTACACAATTTCTAACAACGTTACATTTGTGATCTATTTTTTAAAATACGAGGGGTGTTCGGGAAGTTTAAGGACTTTTGCTGTAGTTTGATAAATAATAGAAATTGAAAAACAAGAAAAACACCATAAAAATATTTAATTATTTTACAGCAAGCTGTAAAAATTACAATGAAATACATAAAACAATAAGTAAATTACAAATAAAACAAAACATACACCGAAGCATACCCGGAGTACGCTAACGTCACGTCAGTGCTAAAAATGTTAACGTCAAGTTTCCCCGATCGTCATATCGACTCACTTCTTGACGTAATCTCCATTCACAGCTATACATTTTCTATGCTTCTTGACCCATTTGTCGTACGTGTCCTGGTACCAGATGTTGTTGAATGACGAAATATTCTCTGGGTTTCAATTTGTAATTCCAACCCGGAATCAAAGCGTCGACCACGCAGCTGTCTTCACCACCGATGGTCGACCGCATCGCTTGTCATCCTCTATTGACTCTCTTCCGTTTCGGAACATGTCGGGCCATCTAAATACTAGCGATCTACATCATTTCTTTGTTGTACTAGATGCTTGAATCATTTTATACATCTCCGTTGGTGTCTTTTCTATTCCTACACAAAACTTGATGATTGCCCTGACTTCAACGTCGCCTATTGACGTCATTTTTCTCTTGATTTGTGAAAGGACCAGTGATGTTAAAACCGTTGTTATTCAAACAATTGTAACGATTTACGAGTAGAATTTTCAGGAAATGACGTTGACGTTGTATTTAACGCTCGTGTTTTTCGTGACGTTATCCATTGTAATTTAAGAAAAGTATTATAAATTAAATATATCGGTACCATTAACTTACATACGATAAAAACGGAGTGCTCAAGGTATGTGTTATGCGGTTCCCAAAGAAACAAGTTTCGAGCGGTATTTGTCTATTCTTGTTAGTGAGCGTTATACTACATATTGAGCACATATCTAAATTACATTTTGTGGAATATGGATAAAAACGCACCATTAAGGAAAAAAATACAGCAAAAGTCCTTAAATTTCCCGAACACCCCTCGTACATGTTCACAAAACGAATTTAACGGTTGTAAAATTTAATTCCTGATATAGACATATCAAAAGCAATAAAGTTTCTACGATAATTTTATTAATCACCGAATTATATCAAATATCAGGAGTAGATGTTGGAATGATTTAAATGCCAGATCAAGATCAGATTATTGCATAAAGTGTTAACGGAAATGCATTTCGAGGTAATGTTATTTTAATAAGTATGCTTAAAGGACATATTTAAAAAAGCTACACTGTAATATCAGTTGTCAAAATTGGCAGTATTTTAATTGTCTTGGCAGTTTCACATACTGTTTCTGCACGTGCTATTGTACTACAAAACATGCATTTGTTTTTCAACAACCGATTGTTTCACAAGTCAGATTATTATTGTCTATTCCTTGATACCACCACTCTTTTTCTCTGCAGATTATATGATTGTTTTGTGTTTTCTTTCATCTTTCGTCGCGGTTCTAGTTGTAGAATTGGCAAGTTGCCGGTAATAGATTGCAGTTTTAATGCTTAACACATCAAAAGTGGAAAAAAATTAATGCGTTCTTATATAGTTGTTTTAAATGATCAATATTGATGAAATACAGATTCATGATAATGTTTTCATAATTTATACAATAGTTGAAAATTCAGAGCTGTTTAAACGTCATGCTTCATCTATCCTTGTGACCAGTGCAAACCAAGATCAGCTGGCGCCTACTCGCCGTCTGATCTGCGCACTGTTCGCAATTCAGTCAATAGTTATTTTGGAAAAAAAGGGTAAATGTGTTGTATATACATGTATTGGCAATTAAAATATTCAGCGTGATAAAATAACGCAGTTTGCCATGCAATGTTACCGGATTTATGCAACATAAGTATATTTAGGATTATTCACTTAATCTCATACCATCTTATATTGTCCGGTTATATTGAAATAAACGCATAGCTGTTTGGAGCCACCATTACCATACATATAATAAAAAAAAAAACAATATAATTGCACATAGAAAAATGTCGTGGTCAGTTTAGGCCTAAATTCAAAACGTTTTCTAGATATCGCGTTCATTCGCGTTACGTTACTGTCTAGAACGAGACCGTGACGTTTCCAAGTAACGACGTCGGTATGTCACCATGCTGGATGTAACAGATTAAATAGGCTTTCAACCATAGAACATTTAATCATTTATCAACTCAAATGACAAGGTAAGCATAGAGAATATTGTTTTGTTATTGAAAGTGATTTAATTATAATGCCATTACCAAGATATGCCGCCAGAAACGATCAGAATTTGTCGGAACACTAGCATTAAGAACAAATGCATTATTTCATTTGGATTCAGTTTTTGCCAATTACAAAATATTGTCTCGGACATTAGACATAACAAATGGTGTTATTTTAAGCATTCTCGAACAGTTCCAGCTAAAATTATGATTAAAATTGTGTTATTTCAGTCAATGACTAATTCATTTTGGGGGATGGTCTCATTTATACATTTCACTATTAAGTCACATTCGATCATTAGATTATTCTTTCAGAACAAGTATTCCTAAAACCAAGCAGTAATCTCACCAATGAGAGTTAAGGAAGCTGAATGAGAATATCGCGTCTGGTGCAATTCGAACCCACAACCTCCGGATTAGGGGCACGGTGTTCTATCCCTATACTACTTGTTTTCCACAAAATACCCCCCCCCCCCCTCCAATTTAAAAGTTCCAAATACTTTTACTAAATTGATTTTGAGCTTAGAGTCGATGATTATCTTATAAAATATAAAGTTTGTAAAATGGAAAGAGCATGTAATTTTTTTATTCAGTAGATCTAAATGCATGTAAATATAGCTGAAACATAAAATCTACAAAACGCGTTTCTATTGGTCAACTGAAACAATTAAGTCACGTGATATTTCTTGACGACGTCTCTATAGACAACGTAAAGCATTTTAACGTCAAAATAGGTTTACTAAGTGACAGGCGCTAATTAAACTGCAGAATTGGTATTAAATATAATGATTACTGAAACATATAGTATTTCTTGCAGAAAATGAACAGGTAAAATGACTTAGATTTATTTTAGTCAAGCCTTAATGTGATGCTGTACTGGTTACTTTTGATTTGTCTGTTTTATCTGGATTATGAAAATACTTTAAGTTACCCTTTTTAAAAATAATATTACTGGTGCCATTTAAAGACATATGGTCAGATATGTTATGGCTTCTTCTGTTTGCCTCGAGCCCAAGTTCCTAAATTGCAATAAAACCATTTATTTGGCTACTGCTGCTTTTTACCACTCATATAATTTTAATCTGAAAATGCAATGTATATGCGGTTTACCAATCATATTATTTTAATCTGAAAATGTAAAGCAAAGGCGGTTTACTGATCATATTATTGTAATGTAAAGACGGTTTTACAGATCATATAATTTTATTCTGAAAATGTTATTCATAGGCGGTTTAGTGATCATTTTATTTTAATCTGAAAAGAAATGTATAAGGGGTTTAACCAATCATATAATTTTAATAATCTGAAAAGGTAATGTATAACCGGTTAACGGGTCATATAATTTTAATCTGAAAATGTAATGTATAGGAAGTTAACCATAATTTTAATCTGAAAATGCCATGTTAAGACGGTTTTACCAATCATCTAATTTTAATCTGCAAATGTAATGTATGGACGGTTTACCAATCATATACTTTTAATCTGCTAAGCGGTTACCAATCATATGATTTTAATCTGAAAATGTAATGCATATGCAGTTTACCGATTATACTATTTTCATATGAAAATGTTTTGTACCGATCATATAATTCTATTCTGAAAATGAAATGTATAGGTGTTTACCGATCATATGATTTTAATCTGAGAATATGATATATTTTAATCTGAAAATGTTATTTAAGGCAGTATACCATGGTTTTAATCTAAAAATGTAAGGTATAGGCGGTTTACCAAAAATGTTATGTATGATCATGTAGTTTTAATTTTCAAATGTAATGTACAGCCGGTTTACCAATCATATGATTTTAATCTGAAATTGAAATGTATAGGGGGTTCAATGATCATATAATTTTCATTAGAAAATGTTATGTATAGGCGGATTTACCGATCATGTAGTTTTAATCTGAAAATGTAAAGAATAGACGGTTTACCACTAATATGATTTTAACCGACCATAAAATTTAAATGTGAAAATGTAATGTATGAGCGGTTTTTACCGATCATATAATTTAATCTGAAAATGTTATGTATGGGCTTTTTTCCACTCATATAATTTTAATCTGAAAATGTAATGTATAGACGTTTTTCCACTCATATAAATTTAATCTGAAAAAGTAATATATTGGGGGTTAAGATTAACCCTTATCCTGATGGAACTAACAGACATTAACCTTTGTCATCAGTATAGAGCCAAGCCAGTCTTCATTTCAGTCCAATCTGACAATGCTCTACACGTTTGGCTGATCCAATTTTAAATTTTCGTCTTGATATTCACAAAATTGATGATGATACAGTCCAAAATACGGAGGCTGGAGAGTAAAATCTAAGAGTAACAGGAAGTTAGGGGTTAAGAAAAATATTAAATTAATCCATTTTCCTTCAAAGCACAGACGAACGTACCTACCATCTGTCCTGAAATGACATGATATGCCACGGTATTTTAATTGCACTGTCCTAATAGCTTCACATTCTTTACATTTTATTTGAAGCTTAAATGTCATGCATGTTTAAATATCTGTTCTTCTTTAAAACATTGAAATCCACTGAAAATAAACTTGTAAATATTTCTAATTTTACAGATTACCTGATTCAAGAAAACCTACGCAAGGTAAGATACCCATTATTCTTAGTAAAAAAAACACGTACTCTCTACTAGTATATGATAAAATTGCTTATCAAAGAAATATTAACTTAAAATCAGGTATATCAAGAAATCATCGTTTATTTTTGTTATTTTCTGTTGCTCTTTACTTAAACACTGTTTACCTCTATTTAACATACATTTCTTTTATCAATTATGTTATACTCACATTCAGGTGAAGGAGTTGAGGTGACAATAGGGATTTCACCAAGACTCCAGCCATTGCCACCAAGGAAATCAACACGACTTCCACCGCTCAAATCTCAGCGACTACCAGACATAAACCCTATTCAACCATCTTATAAAGTTTCAATACTTGCCACAAGTGCAGAACCCGAACCTAAAAAGGAGATCAGAGAAAAAGATTTATTCAGCCGCCGGAAAGGTGTAAAGTGTGATAATAAAGCCCCTGTTATAACACACAGAAGAGAAACGAATGAAAAAGTTGTTCCTGCTATTGATAAGCGACATAAATCCAATGATACAAAAGTTGGAAAGACAAAAGATAAACTTCCCGAAACCAAAGTTATAGTGGAGCACACTGACAGCATCCACTTGGAAGAAATCAAACGTAACAATTCACGAGTAGACTCACAATCTAAATTAGTTCCCACCTGTCCTAAAATCCATCACGACATTAACAAAGAAGTCACGTGGCAGAAAGAACGAGATCTTCTTAGGAAACATAGAAAACAGCAGGCGCAACGGATGAACATGAATAGGCAACCAGTAAAGGCTGTTACATCGTATGATAAAACTGGCAATGAAACAAAGCGTCTATGTCCAAAAGAAGGTAAAATCCAATTAAACGTGATATCTTTTGACTTCTGATGCCCATTTGGGTGTTGTGGCTATTGGATATTGTTGGGAGGGGCTTTGTCTTGCAAATGTTGCTCTCCTTTTCTTGCAAATGTTGCTCTCCTTTGTTGAGCTTTATTTTCATATTTGTTTAAAATTACAAAACCAAAAGTTAATAAAGTCACATGTTTGTGATCTTAAATTATTAAGGGGATTAATAATAGGTTTAGACAGTCAGATTTTGCATTTGAAGGAAATTTTGGCGACAACCATTGTTATGTGCTTTTACCTATCAATATGTTCATATATATAGATTATTGAAGCCAAAATTTTATAATACAGAACATTAAATTAAACACATATGCAAGAGCATAAATAGTACTTTATATTAAATAAGAATATTATTAAACTGTTCGTTAATAATTTAATAGATTATTCATAATATAATTGAATATTATTAATAAAATGGAAAATTATAATTTTGCCAACATTTTCAATTTAGAAATGTCTGATAGAAATCATCGAGCGAGCGAAAGACAGAAGATAGATCTGTCTGTCCGTCGCAAATGTGATGACGACGAAGACTGGGACTGGGATAAAGATATTGAAGAGTTCCTGGAAATTGAGGAAAAGCAGAAAACCCGTCAGCTATCAACTTCCGGAAAGTGCACACCTGCATCAAATGGGGCAAAAAATCAGCAAACGCCAGTTATTATGAATTGCACAAAGAAAGGATTGGGTTTTAAATCAAAGAAAAGAATAGAAGAGGAAAAGCAGCAAGAGTTAATCAGAGTAGAAATTGAGAGAAAGGAAAAAGAGCGAATAGAAATGATGATCCCACAGAAGATAAGGAAAGATTTAAAGAAGTATGGTTTTCGATAAAATCATTATAATTTTGAGATATTAATAATTAATTTATATGAATATCAGTGAAATGATTTCACGACAAAAAATAAATTGAAACGTAACCAGTTTTTTGAAAAATAAATTTGCTGAAACGTAATGCGATTTTTGAAAAAAATTGCGATTGAACTTGACAGCGGAAGAAGCATAGAAAATATTACTTTTGCATTCAATAACAAACAGAATATTGAAATGTTATTTATTTACTGTTTCACTGTGGGACTTGTGCATGAATCTGGAGATATTTTACATGGAAAGTGAATCATATGTGTTTTAAGACATTGGTGAGGTTTCTACATGGAGAGAGATATATTATTTTCTTTTAAGCAATTGGCGAGGGAAACCTGTCACCGTGATGATACTTCATGACAGTAACGTTGGCAATTCTGTTAAACTGACAAATATTCCTTTAAGAAAAAACGATGATGAATAAAAGGTTAATATCACATCTTCAATAAAATTCATGCAAACATGAGACGGAGAACATCAGAATTTAAATAACAGATCAATTCTGATTGAAGAAAACAAATTTGGTGCATGTATAATGTTTGCCAAATATGACGGCAGCGTCGGAGTAATGGCCAAAACCGTTTTTGAACTTTAATATATAGCGAGTTGATAAAGCATTGAAATGTGTAAATGATATTGTAATGTTAAATTGAATATTCATTTACTCAAATCAGGTAATTTGAGTATATTGAACAAAAATCAGAGAGTGAACAGTTTACTCAAGATTAAAAAAAACTAAACTACCATGCATATTCTCCAGTATGATTAAAACGCTAATTTGTATTTGTCGTAGTTTTCGGCCTTCTTGACTACTTTAGTCTATATATTAGTAGTGCTTTGTATTTTACATGTTGACTCAATTGCCATAACATTTCTAGTTATTATTGTTATGTATTTTTGTATTGCTTTTTTCATGTACTTTGATGACTCATTAAATAAAATATTGCTTCCTTGAAGATTGTTTTTATTTATTGTTTTTTTATTTATGACCAAAATTGATGATTGTTTTTTTTATTTATGACCAAAACCATATTTTCTAATCTATAAATTGTTATATGAAACATGTATGACACTGTTGGTACAGAAATATTGAAACATAATATTTATATACCATGAAGTATAAACACATGTTGTACTGGATTCACAAATACATCTCACGTCAACGCCTTTACTTATTTCTGTATATAATTTAAGCTGGCATATTTTCAAGACAATATTACGGAACAGCCTCGCCTCACTTTAAAACAGTTTATAATGGGAAAACATAAAATCAAATGCCAATTTCCATTTCTATTGGAATGTTAATATCTTAAATTGAAGATGTTATATTGATATTGTAATTGATGATTAAAAGTAGATCTTGCTATTTCAATTTAAAAGAAGTGTAGTGACGTACGTAGAAAAATATTGGAAGAGATTCAGTACAGCGTCTTAGGTCGTGTAAACCAAAATTCAAAATTTCAATGGCTTTACAAGAGCTTTTTTAGAGTCTTCGAATGATTTCAAGTAGCCAAAAAGTAAAGTATCAGCATAATTTGTGAAATAGCTTATTACTATCACATGTACTCACATTTTATTTTCGAAACAATTCGAAAGAAGTATGTAAACTATAATGGTTGGTTAACGTTAAATGTATCTCTCTCGAAACACTGTCTTATGAAAAGAGTCTTCTTTCTAACTAAAGACAAATTGGAATAAGGTATCGTCTGTGTGTGCAATTTTGACAAGCTTACATACGTTACAAACCTCTGATGCTGAGTGGTTACGATCGTCTGCTTCGAAATCTCTTGTCCTCCATCCCCGTGGTTTCGAATCCTGACCGGGACTAATGATTCTTTAATGTGATTTCAAGCACACGGAAGGTCGGTGGTTCTACAACGGTGCCTGGCCGTGCGTGAAAAAAAATGCACTGTGGGGGCACTAGAGGTCCTCCTCTACCTGTAAAGTTTGAAATTCACGATAACATCTTAACAGACTCAGTCTTGGTGCGAGCCAACATATTCAAATTAGTTCCGACGGGCGTCTGTTTTGCTTATTTACAGAAAAACTCCAGATACAGTGAGCATTTCACGCCAATTCTAATTCCGTCGAGACGAAACGTAAATTTTCGAAATAAATTTAAAATACGGAATCTCTGTTTATAAATGGTGTTTCTATGAACTTTATTCTTACGCTCCTAAATTTACATAAATCAACATTCTGATAGTGAAGACCTGTTATGACGAGATAAGACAAAAACAATAAAGATACTTGTAAGAATATTTATCTAATATTTCAACAAAATTTCTAACAACGTTACTTTGTAATCTATATTTAAAACATTTTCTCAAAACACATTTAACGGTTGTAAAATTTAATTCATGATATAGTCTCATGAAAAGCAATAAAGTTTCTACGAGAATTTATCAAATCACCGAATTATATCAAATATCAGGAGTAGATGTTAGGATAACACTGCTGATTTTAAGCACTTTAAATATCATAGATTACAGCCGCGTAACTCGCAAAGATAGGGAACATAAAGTGTTTCGAACTCTAGATAATGTTTACTAAGCTTTTAATTATGTGATATATTTTGTCTCCGATTTGTCACTGCATTACAAATGACATACATCTGTATTTGAATTTTTCTTTAAATGATTCTCTATCAATAACACATTAAATTAAATACCTGCAATAATTATATAATTAAAATCAAACACTTTTTTCTTTCATAAGGGATTTGAGAGATACATAAAAATGTTAAAAAGAAAAAAAGTTGCTCCCTCTGGGGTTTGAACCCACGCCCCTCCGTTCCAATGCTGTTGACAGTGATTCTACTTCAAAGTGGAGATAATGCATGTATACTACCTTAAAATAGATCTATATCAATGCATCTTTCTTTTTAATAGCATGTGTATAGTACAGTGTCCGAGGTTACAAGAACGTTTCTAAACTCAGACCTCAGTAACTGATTGGTCAGAAACTGTCACAGAATGTTCACTTACCAATGAAAATCTTGTGATTTGAGACAAAACTCAGAAAAAAAATTTGAATAACCTTGAGGCTAGCTTAATACAGATTCATTGCGGAAAATTACACTGGCGGATGATGGAAGGTCAGGTAGCTGAACCTATAGTTTTAGTGGGGAAAGTTTAACTGTTTTGGAGCACGAGAGGTCAGGTAGCTCAACCACTAGACATTTTGCTTACAATGCAAGTCAGGGCTCGCCAATTGATTTCGAATGCTCGTTAGCCATAAATGTATTTTTTTTATAAACAAAAACCACATGAAATGTTACGATTACAAACTTGCCATTTAGTAATTTGGTTTTCATGTTGTATTTAGTTGGCAATGTATGGCAGGTCTGTCAATAAAACGAATCATTGCACCAGGGTTATTTAAATTCTATTTTAGACCGTGATTTAACTAAAGGGCAAATATTTAGAATGATATGATGTCCTTGAACAATTTTATTTTAATAATTGGATACTCGTAACATCTATAAATCAGATTATGTTAGTCTTGGGGTGGGGGAAACAGAAAAAAAAATGTTGTAAAGAGCTATAAATAACAATGTTACAGTGCCAGGTCTAACTAATGGAATGAAATGTAAGAGTAAGTCGGCATGTGAATTCAAGGTAAACCTACCTGGATTACACATTACCTACCTAAGTCTTATTGTTTTCCCCCAGCTTCGTTTACAATTTTCCTCTTTTTACCTGTGTAGGAACCGGTGCATCGTGTAATCAGTATGTTGTAGAATCTACTATCATTTCTTCTGCTTTCTGCTAGAATCGGCAGATAAACGGTTAGGTTCATACCACCTGCTTCAGGTGATAACACATTTTTGGAATTTTGTAAACAAAATAAAAATTGGAATATTGTGAAAACAGATATAAACAGGTTGCTTGTTTGATTGTTTAATATTGAAGATTTTTTTTCGGGGAAAAAAGTGAAGCAGTGAAAGGGAATTAATAGCAGAGTTGAGGTAAAACTAAGTGGAAAGGTAAAAAAAGGAAGGAACATGACAACTGTAAATATATCAAGGCAATCAGTGAACCAGCCCTGGGGAATGAAGATCAGCGGTGGGCGTGATTTTAGGATTCCACTTCAAATTAAAAAGGTGAGTTAAAATCTTAAATAGATCATTTATGAGCGTCTGTAATAAAGACTCACCAAATCTAATATATTATCATTAAAATATGCATCACAGTGCATTTTATAGGTCGATCTTTAATTCGTTAATGCAAAAGTGTTCGGTTCGACCCGTAAATAATATTTTGGATTGACCTTATATACACTTTTCAATACTAGTATTTCAGTAAAAAAGGTGAATATATGCGTTCACAGGCAAGTACGTAATCATGCAGTGATTAATGCATCGCTCTTGTATAATAAGTATTAATAAATTTCATATAAAATGGCATTAATGCCGTATCGTTCAAGCTATAACGTTAATAAAGAAGAGCAAATAAGTATAATAGTAGTGTTGGCTTTATGTTAATGTAAAAGAAGAAGCAAAGGCTGTCCCATATTGCCATTGCTTATACTGAAGTTTTTGGTGAAAGGAGTTTTCCTTATGTACACATGCATTGTAAATTGAGATGCAAGGATCTTTATCATAAGTACTTTTAAAAGGCACAAGTTATATACTTTTGATGGCTGCAACATCAAAATATTGTATATTTTTTACTAGTTCATCTGAATAATTGTTAACGGTCTGAAAAAAGGAGCTCAGCTGATGTCCAAAGGCCTAAAATCAAAAATTTAAAACATTTAAAGCATTTAAAACTGAAAAATATGCAAACAATGAAGGATTTAAATTGAAGATTGATTTTTCTGCGATGTTTGAGCAAATTTGATTTAAAAACGTTTGCGTTTAAACATTTTTACTTGGGTCATTTTGCACAATTAGAAAGGTTATCTGGAATAATAGAGTGAATGATCTTACATTCTGCACAACAAGTTTCTGGGCCAGACATACATCAAATGGTACACAAATCTCGAAAAAAAAATAAGCAAGAACAAAAAAAAATCCAAGTTCAATAATGTAAAAAAGCTCTTAGCGGAATCTCTTTAATCACTCTAGATATGATTCAATTGTTAATATACGTATATGCATGTATATAAATGGCTTAAAGCAAACTTTTCATCGCGTTCGTCACGCTTTTCTACTTTGTTCCTTTTTGGGGAGTAATGGCTGTGGGAAGTTCTCTATAATTGCTGATCTAAATTTATTAACACGTACACATTTGAGATAACCAGAATCTTTAAAATATCTAATAACAAAATATTTATGCTATTGTTAGACATAAAATTCAAAATATTTTTATACAAATTGCAAAATATAGTTTGAACACATATGAATCAGTGAGTTATTGCTTAATTATTAATTAGTCAGACAGCAATTAACATAATTAACAGCTAATTGGAAAACTGATAACAAAACAATGCACATCGGAACATCTGTACAGTCAGCGAGATAATAATTATGATATGAGCCGCGTCACGACAAAACCAACATAGTGCGTTTGCGACCAGCATGGATTCAGACCAGCCTGCGCATCCGCGCAGTCTGATCAGGATCCATGCTGTTCGCTATCAGTTTCTCTACTTGTAATAGGGTTTGTAAGCGAACAGCATGAATCCTGATCAGATTGCGCGGATGCGCAGGCTGGTCTGGATCCATGCTGGTCGCAAACCCATTATGTTGGTTTTGTCGTGACGCGGCTCATATTATCTTAATACACATCTAAGAGATGGTACATGCGAGTGTTTAATCGTAAGATATACTTAATGTGACAGTCGTTAAATGCAAGACTGTATAATGAACAAACGCATAACAATTTTCTTTTACCTATGTATATCTGTTATGTTTTATATATGTATATCTGTTCTAAGATCAATAGAAATTATAGGTAGAAATCATCCTACCCGATGCTAACAAACTTGGAATTTGTGAGTCTGAGAAACAATGCATCGATGCATTAACCTTTAGCCGCCGGCTGTCGGCAGCAGATTCTACCCATGCGACATGTACAGGTTAGATCAGCCGGTACACCTGTGCTGTCTTAGCATGGAATGCACTGTTAGCTGTTAAAACTTATTTTAACATGGTCAACGGTTTTGGAAACCAGCCGTCTTTTTTTTTAAAAGGAATAGATAATGATAATAACGTGCCGTGGCCACTTGTGAAGAGCTTGGCCAGTCCGTACAGTATACAGTCGGACCAACCTTATTTCTCTGGCTGATAAACTGGAGTATCTAAAAAAAGCAAAGCTCCTATAGTAACTAAATATATTGCTAAATTCTAAGCAAACCAACTACAAATTAAGCGTGGGAAGTGTTTTATAAGTTTAGTTTTTATACTAGAACTTGATTAAGTTAACAAGACAGATCTGCTCTCATAAAATTCATATGAGCCGCGTCACGACAAAACCAACATAGTGGGTTTGCGACCAGCATGGATCCAGACCAGCCTGCGCATCTGCGCAGTCTGATCAGGATCCATGCTGTTCGCTTACCAACTCTATTATAAGTAGAGAAACTGATAGCGAACAGCATGGATCCTGATCAGACTGCGCGGGCTGGTCTGGATCCATGCTGGTCGCAAACCCATTATGTTGGTTTTCTCATGACGCGGCTCATATGTACTTTCATGGTCTGTTCATTCTCAGAGATCCTATCGTAAATACATCTTCCGAATTCGATCTATCTCCCCATACCGATGCCTTTCGCTAAATTACGCACCTTAATTAAACATGTTGTATAATATGATTTAATTTGTATTGTAAGTCTGTCAGACTGTCTGTCTGTCTGTCTGTCTGTCTGTCAATTGGTTAAGTATGGTGTTTGCATGTATCACGTGACAGACATATGTTTGGTAATAAAATATAATACATTATATTTATATAATGAGAATATATCATTTATGTAATGTTTTACTAAATTCAAAGAAAGGCTTGATCACATGATATGATAAAAAAGCACTGACATAGTAGTACAAAGGCACACTAGAAAGGCACGAATGACATACAAGAATAAATACAAAACTTTATAATTATATATACATAATACTCATTTGGCAACGTATTATCTAACACATCAGTAGCTACAAATTTACAGTACTAAAAATGCTATTTCCATCCTAACATCATTCAACATTACGTTGCCAACAATGCCAATAGTTACTAGGTGTTGATGTCAACGTGAGATAAAGTCTTACACAAATAGTCTCTATATCTCAAAATAAATAAAATAAATAAATAAATAAAAATGCTTTTTAAATAGATTAGTGGCAAATTACATGTAAATCATATCTTTAATAATAACTGTATGTATGTGTTCTTCTTGCACGCATTTGGACATGACATTTAATCCATTTTATATGCAGTAATATAACAGACTGTTGTAAATGTAATAAGTCGTAGATATTTTCATGGCTTTGTCACCAAAGGTACATACAAAGATATATACAACACATCTTTAACTGTTATTGATTAAAAAAATGAAAAACAGTTTCATGAAAGCTTATTACAAGTAAAAATAGCCGAGGAGTTCCGATTGGTCCGACGATGGCAGAACAGCTAGACATTAAATGTTAACAAAGCATTCAGTTCAACATATCAACACATGACTGTCATCGTTTAAAACATTATATAACGAAAGATATGTGGCAACTTACAAGTGTTATTATATTCCGCTAGAATACATCACAAATATCTCAGACCACGTGTTGACGTAAGTTTGGCATATTACATGAAACATTTGGTCTTAAAAATTGCTGAAAACCCTGAAATGTATCAGATATGTATTTACTTTAAAAACACGTGCGGTTTAAACAGGCAAAACTTATATTTATATACATACAGTGTATAAATAAATACTTTAGAAATTATATATCTTAACATATGAGCCGTGTCACGACAAAACCAACATAGTGCGTTTGCGATCAGCATGGATCCAGACCAGCCTGCGCATCTGCGCACTCTGATCAGGATCCATGCTGTTCGCTTACAAACTCTAAAACAAGTAGAGAAACTAATAGCGAACAGCATGGATCCTGATCAGACTGCGCGGATGCGCAGGCTAGTCTGGATCCATGCTGGTCGCAAAGCCATTATGTTGGTTTTGTCGTGACACGGCTCATATTTCATATTGCTGCGAGCGTAACGTATGATGACGTCAACAACGCTGTCCCTTTTATACTGTATTAGGTTTGCTTCATCACGAACTATACTTGGCTTGTCTGACATATTATAAATAAACAGTATCGGACAATTTAAAATAGGCATATTTCTTTTAGCAAAACCTGAAACTAATCTTTGAAACTAGCTATCAACGAAACGTATTGGCGAAATGTGCTTTATGCAAGAGCGCCACCGTATCAAATCTTCTTTCTTTATTATTCCCTTCGGAGAAAGTGCTTAAAATAAATAAAATTCGCATGTAGCAATTCATGCTTCAAATCCACTGTTCAAAATCTTAGACAAATATTAAAAAAAAATCAGGCGAAGGTTGACCAGTATTTAGTATTTATAAGCATATGACTTAATTAATTTAACAGATGGTTAATCAGGCAGACACTTGGGGTGTTTATAATATATTATACACATTCAAATATGACTGTTTTCCAAAACTGCTAAATTAAGTTTCATTGATATATTAGTATATGATATAAGTATATGTGCTGGGATTGACAAATATAAAATTTATTTGGATTTTAAGACGTTTTGGAGGTCCAAACCCCAAACGTTGGGTTAATTAGGGTATTAACCTGAAGAAAAAAGTTATATACTCATGGCGTGATGATGAAAAAATATCTCTGCCAAAGTTTTATGAATAGCACAGTAGCATAACTAATAACAACAGATAGAGTTATCATGTACAATTAGTGCTTATCTAATTGATACAAGAGTAATGTACTCGCTCAAAGATAAATTCATGAGAGCAGGTGCGCTGATAAATGCGAACAACGACAAAATAGAAAATATACATATGTAAATTGTCATTATACCAGACAAATAACAGGCCAGTGCCAGTGAAAATATCTATGACTAATTTGAGTATGTAATAAGAACCGGCTGTTCCAAGTACTTGTATCTCAACAATTCCTTAGACCAAGTTTATAACCTATTACTACTTCATAAAGAAAGTCATACAAGCACCAAGAAGGTTTTTTGTTTTGTTTAGTTTTACGGCGCACCAAATATCGCGCCGAAACAGGAAAAATGTTTTTGGCGAAGTCGGGTGTTACAAACTTAACTTATAACAACACCAGGGGTCAAAACCAGCTCACCCACTGGAGCTAAGAGATAATAACTCTAATAAGTCTAACCCATTGAAACGATTATGTTATATATCTTGCTAAATTAAAACAACAGTAAATTGCGAGCATGTCTGAATTTTCACTGTCAAAGATATACGAGAAAATATATCCAGTGTTAAATACATTTACATTATATCAATATAAATATATGTGACATTAAATATACAATTGCAAAATAGTAAAATGTAACTACGGTTTAACATACAATGTCAAAGTCAGAAAATGTAATTGGGGTAGATAGACAATGTCAAAGTTATAAAATGTTCTGTGGGTTAAATATACAATGTCAAAGTTAAAAAATGTAACCCGATTGAAATATACAATGTCAAAGATACAAAATATTGCCTGCCTTAAATATACAATGTCAAAGTCTGAAAATATAATTAGGGTAGATAGACAATGTCAAAGTTATAAAATATTATGTGGGTTAAGTAAACAATGTCAAATGTGACTTTGTTAAAATAGTACCAATGTCACTTAAAATGTGACAAGAGTAAAATGTAGAAAAATGTTAAGTCATAAAATGTAACAAGGGTTAAATATAATTATTATGTCAAATTCCAAAAAATGTTACTGGGGTTAAATATCTATGTCAAAGTCTTATTACCGTTAGGTTACTTATGTCAAAGTCATATGAAATGTTACGACATGTTAAGTTATAAAATGAAAAAAATAATAACACGTACATTTTGAAAGTGAATTATGGCTAAAAGCGTTTTTTCCTGTAAAATAGTAATTGGTTTTAAATGAAGTACTTCAAATTATCCTACTGTTTTAAATAATTCATACAAGTCCCTTTAAACTGTGGAGCGGTGCCCTAGTGGTTATGGTGTCTCGCGGTCAACTCAGGGATAATAAGTTCAAGCCTTACTCGGGTCACCACCATGTTTCTGCATAATTATGACGCCAGTGCAGGTTGGTTCAAGGGAGCGGACTCAAAAGAGATTAATTAAGTTGCAAGAACTTGTTTTGCAATCGAGCTTAAATAAATTTGTTTACAAAAAACTAATACAAACAAATACTTTTACGTTTTCAGGTAGACCCAAATTCACCAGCTGCAGGATACGTCAACAGTGGAGACGGAATTAAAGCTATTGGGGGAACCAGCGCAGATAATTTGACACATATGCAGGCTCATCAGCTTATTAAAAGTGCCGGGAACCATCTACAGCTCACAGTCTTACAGTAAGTTTTAATGAAGATGTTAAGTTAATGAACGGTAGCGTTTATAAAACAAGCACACTTAAGACTACATTGCTTAAGACTACTTTAACGTCAACCAGGCGGGGGGGGTGATAACAATCGGTTTTATGCAGAAGGAAAACCAATGAACCAATAATCACTTACAGTAAAGTTAGGAATTAATAATCACTTCCAGGAATGGAGGGGACTAATCGTCACTTTGGGACAAGCTTGATAATGACAATTTAAAAGTTTTTCAAGTTATTTTAAATGTAGGCCAGATCCTTTTATTTTTTATTAGACGTCTGATAAGCATTGTAAAAATGTTTATTTTTGTGAAATTTTGCATTTGTAAACCTTAGTCATTAAACTGCTGGAGCTGTCAGTCCCCAGGAACTTCAATTGTGAATATACATGAACCGTGAGGAGCCCTGTCTGCCGCATTCATTTTTAATCAAAGGTCAAGGTCAATTATCTTGAAAACTCTATTCATGTGTAGAAAGGCCGTTTGTCAGAGACAGTCGAACTAGCAGTGCTTTCAGTACTTTGATTCTTTTCTAACATTGAAATGCCTTAGCTTTCAATGTGAAGGTAAAATCCATGACTTGGAGTTTGATCGATTTTGATCATATAGTTTGACAGAAACATTGACGAGTCGCTTTTACTTTCGTTTGCTATATTTTCTGACGTTAATTAGCATATATGTCATTTATATAAAAAAAATTTTACTCCATCATTTTTTTTTCTAATAGGATTCTGCACCAGCTTGTGCATTGCATTTTCTGACACGGCCGCTCGAAAAGTTTCATGACTTGCAAATGACTAAATACCTGGCCTTTTATGTAAACACATGTGTTTGAATCAGCAGTTTAGGACGACTAATTATTTGTCTTCCTCCAAATGGCATCCAATCATCAATGCTGAATCACCAATAACCCTTGGCATAAATCTTCCCTACATATGAGCCGCGTCACGACAAAACCAACATAGTGCGTTTGCGACCAGCATGGATCCAGACCAGCCTGCGCATCCGTGCAGTGTGATCAGGATCCATGCTGTTCGCTTACCAACTCTATAACAAGTAGAGAAACCGATAGCGAACAGCATGGGTCCTGATCAGACTGCGCGGATGCGCAGGCTGGTCTGGATCCATGCTGGTCGCAAACGCACTATGTTGGTTTTGTCGTGACACGGCACATATGTCATTTGGTATTTCGTAGAACAAAGTGGTTATAATTTCTTAAATAACTTTTTATTCTAGTGAATATGTGTGTGTAAAAAGTTAACGCTATATTTATTTTAAAATTAAAATGAAATAATTGCATGTAAAAACTTGCATGTTTAAAACAAGTCAGAAAATGGTCCTCCGTTTTCCCCATTTTATATAGCAATTCTAAGAAAAATCAAAAGTTTACAGATTACACGTGTAGTGACTGACCTTGTCGTCTAAATAATATCATATGTGTCTCGTATCAATGAATCGTTATCTGTTTTCCCTATGAAGATGCTTAGATCGCTATCAACATACCTGACTGTTTACAGGAACTTAATAAATCCTGGCATATAACAGCACGAAATGTTGGCGTGTGTCTACATGGTTACAGTGAGAAAATACCTGTCTACGTTACTGTGGAATTCACATTATTCTCCGGATACCTTTTTATATATTTTCTCTGTACCGTAAACCCGGGCAAATTTCCCGCTTATATAAATTCGCGGGAAAAATTAATTTGCGAAAAGTAGCGCAGAACAACAACAACAACAAAACAAAAACAATGCTTTGACGACGTACACAAAAAGCATGAAATTGTGAGAGGGGGGGGGGGGGGTATTTCGAAAAATATTTACTTTTACTTCCTTTAAAAAGCTAAAACTTAGTTATATCGTGGCTTTACCTTTCGTAGCATAAAATCACTTCTCATTAACAATTAATAGCCGTTTTCTATCTAGTATTTTGTAGTTATTTTTTCCTCTTTGAAAGTTGCAAAGTGTCACCACGTTATACCTAATTACGAGTTTAAAAATAATATATCTACTTATACGTGTAGTTTTCATTTTGTGTTTACGTATTGGCGTATCTAAGCTTTTACTAGTTATATTGAAATTTATTAAATGTGCTAAACAGGAAAAAAATAATATCGTGATTTAACAATTGATTTAATTACTTACTATACACAGAAATTATATAAAATACGTCATACTATGAATATACAGTAAAACCTGTCTTAAGGAGCCAGCCAAGGGATGCAGACATTTTGTACAAAAATGAAGCCCCTTTCTTTGGTATACAAAGGGGACTGTGTAATGGTTCAAATTGTGATCTCATAAACATGCTGTCCCTCTTGAAGTTTGTAAATATTTTTGTTACATTGACATGTTATCGAGGCGTGCAGAAACAGAAACAAAGACCAAAGAGTGTTGTTTCTTTAGTTTTCCTTACAAGAGAGTGTTGTTTTCCTAAGAACAGACTATTGTTTCCTTAGAAAAAAGCGTTGTTCTCTTTCGAAAAAAGTGTTGTTTTCTTGGAAATTTGAGTCATTTTACAAGGAAAAGAATGGGATTTTTTTTATTGGAAAAGTGTTTATTTTCTTGGAAAATACTTTTGTTTTCCTTGGAAAAGTGGTAATCTGGGTAAGGTAATGCATTTTATGTGAAAAGCAACTATACAATTACATTATATTTTTCACATAATTTATTTTCTATGTTCCCATTCCAGGGGCCATTTCAAGGAAGTAACCGGAATAAAGCCGAAGGGGCCTATCAAGTTTTCACCATGGAGAAACAAGCAGCAATAAAAGAAATGAAATATCAAATTAAATATAAAAACAAATGTAAAATTCTGCAAAATCAATCTTCTTTAGAAGTGAAATTTTTATCATCAAAATATCAGTTGAGTGTTGAGAGTTTGTGAGATGGATACGTACATTCCAACGTTTAGTTCCCTGGAAAATAAGATTATAAAAGTCTGTAAAAAACCTGCTAGATCCGTAAAGTAGAAATGCGCAACTAGCGGTTGAAATGGAAGTACCTTTTGGTGCATTCGCGCTTAAGTTTGTCCCGGTTTATATTTATCTTCCTTTTGAGCGGTTCATTTCGTCGTGAGAGAGCTCATTCCCTGTTTTGTATTGTTTTATAATTTATCTATGTAACCATGTATGGAAGAAGTTAAAAACAAAAGTAGAACATGTATTTAGATGTTTTGTTTTAAAAACTTTTACTGTACTGTCTTTAACCTTATAATGGACAAGTTGACATTTAACGCAATATGAAACTAACTCAAGAAATTCAAAACTTGAGTCAGTTATATATTATGTTCCAACACTTAAAATATAGCATTGTTAGACGAACTTTGTACATATATATATATGTATTTTTGTACAGTATTGACTAAAGATATTTTTCGCCTGCTTGTTTCACATTTTTCTTTCGATATTTTCCAGTTGGAAGAATATATTACCGAGTTTAATGTGAAAGTATCACATAGCGAAAACCAGTGATTTCCGTCCTCTGCTGAAAATAGTTTTAAATCAACATTTTTTATTTTTATTTTGTTTTTTTTTGTATATTATGGTGACCATATATTATCAAAATCATCGTGTGCATTATTTTGTTCCCGCCACGTTGTATATTTGGCATGTTATGCCATTTTATATAATTATAATAATTTTGATGGTGTTTTTTTACCATTGTAGAAGCTTTAGATATATATGTAGTGAATGATGTTTGTTTATCATATCTATGTTTGGTATAAAGTATACGTTTGAATTTACATTTCTAACTGAAAGCATCTCCTACAATACCAAAGACTCTTAACTCTGTAAGCTAGGTTACACTTGGGAAGACGGACAAGGGGAACAGAAACGGGCCGTGTCTATCTTTATGACGTAAGTTGTCAAGTCGCGTGCCAATGCGTAGATCCTTGACCTGTATAGATTAAGAGGATACAATAAGAATTTCACAGTAACGTATTTATTTACAAAAGAGCACATGTCAATTTTTGTGGTTACATCTATTGTAATACAACTTGGTCGCAATATCGTACTCTCTTTTTTACATTATTCTTTGGTCAGTTTTAGTCCCCTTATCCGTCTTCTAAGGCCTTATACACAGAAACCTTCTTTTTTTATTTTCAAGTTTAATTATAATGTAAAACAATACCAGATAAGTTCAATTACAAAGATAGATTTATTGAAATATGTTACAATGTCTTTTTCTGACATTTTCGTCTTAGCTGTCTTGTATCTCCCTACATTTATGTAATTTTCTTTTGGTGTTTCGAAAAGTGAGGTACAAGTCTGCGATTATATCATTGATATATTGGTAATATCTTAAATGAACAATTTTCATCAAATTTTGTTAAAATGTTACTTTATACCAGAAAACAAAACAAAAGAAATTAGGTTTTATCTATAAACAATTTCATCACTGGCTCATGTAAATTCTATTGTAGCAAAAATCCGGATATAAACCCTTAAAAAGTCCATGGATTTGGGCCCTAAATTAATTAAAAATTGGTCATGATATAATTTAGTTTTTTTCTCACTAACATGCTGTAAAGTCAATGTAAATGGACGTTATGTACGAGAATTAGGATACGTTTATTTTGTGCTTTATGTGTTTATTTTTACAATTGCAAGATATGTAAAGGGCTGTTCAAAGTTTGTATTATGTATGGATGGAAACAAAAAGTGAAATAAAATTTGAAACCTTTTATAGTTTTTTGTGTATTTGTGTCTGCGATGTGCGTGCGTGCGTGTGTGTGTGTGCGCTTGCGTATGTGTTGTTACAATGCCTATGGTAAAGCTTATCATAATCAAGACATTGAATTTCGGATTAAAATTTAACTTATTAAATACAAAATGATAGTAAATGAACCATTTGACGATATCAATTTTGATCCCTGGATAGATTTTTTTATACTATTAAAGACCGATAGATAATGTGACATGTACATTATCCAGCCAGTGGTTTTCGACAATTATTCTTCAAGTTATATAAAAAAAGTAGAGCTGGGCTATTTTGTCCAAAACACATGATTTATAGGATATTTGCAGAAGTCCACTTGACAGTGGAAGTTTCACAAAAAAAAACTGTGTTTTCCTATACAAGTCTATATAAACTAGGCGACACTCAGGCGGAGTCAAATATGACTCCAAGGGTTCTTTATATAACTATTATGGAGAACCACAGGGGGATATTACGGAAGACGGACAAACCCCACCATTTAAAACCCCACCACTCAAAATTTTATAGAGTGGACAAAACCCCACCACTAAATTTTACAGAGTGGACAAAACCCCACCACTTACCAATTATTGGGCAAGATTTGATGAATTAAAATATATATAATATACAGTACACATTTTCACATTTTACTTTTTAATTTCAATATAACATTTGTGTAATATAAGAGATTATACAAATAATTTACAAACTGTTAAATCAACATCAAAGAGTAGTCATTTATTTGAGACTGTGCCACATTTATGACCTTGAATTATCCATTATTTTCAGTTTCTTCAAATTCATTTCTTCAATTTATTTATATAAAAAATAAACTACTTACTATTAATCAAGAATGTAGCACATTTTCATCAATTAATGATTAAAAAATAGCACATTTTTATTCAGTTCAGTCAATTTTCCTTCATTGTACTTCATTGTACTTAGTTTAAGTGGATACTGTGGCTGATAGTCTGAAGAAACTCGGGTACAGTCTTCTCCTTATTGATGAGTTGTTCACACATTCTTTTGAGTTTCTGCTGATGCACAATTGTTTGTTTTTTAACATGTTTACAAGAAAGTTTTGTCCACTCTATAAAACTGAAGTGGTGGGGTTTTGTCCACTCTGTAAAATTAAGTGGTGGGGTTTTGTCCACTCTAAAATTTAGTGGCTGGGTTTTGTCCACTCTATAAAATTTTGAGTGGTGGGGTTTTAACTGGTGGGGTTTTGTCCTACATTCGATATTACATGCAATATATCTTAGCTCTGGACAATGTAAGTACATACAAGATGTGTTTTAAATACCTCTATCATATTAAGTAACCACCCGGATGAGGCAATTTTTGCACCCGTAATCTAAACTACTTTTGTAGATGAACACAAGTTGATGCCACGTGTTAAATATCTATGCTCTGGGTATTATACATATAGTTTTAAAGGAGACCACTTTTAAGGACATTTTAAATGTCTATTTTCAGCTCCGATGACATTGTCTGGAACCATTTATATAGCTCTTATAGATTGCAACCAAAGTATTGTCCTAGTGAAGTTTTGTCAAAAACCGCCAAGTCATTTAGGAGACGTTTCTTAATGAAATTAAAAGCTGAAATAAGCCACTTTGCAGGAGAAAAAAAACCGAAAGTTGTGAGCTCATTTGTTTTAAATCAAATAAAAAAACTTAAAGTGAATTGGTCTATAATGGATGATATGTAATATTGTAAATAACTATATTGATAGTATTAGATATAACAACAACCCACGAAAGAATTATGTATGGATGTTGTTGGAAAGTATGACATAGGTGATCTGATAAAAACATATATTCATACAACAGATAATAATGTTCTGGAACAAAATATTATTATTCATCATATAAATGCTAATACTATATCACTTAGAACTTTATTAACATTCTTTTTTCAAGCAATATTCCGTTAGAATATCTGATGATACACTTCTATTGTTTTTATCATTAAAAAAATACTTGATAATGTTCCCATCATAGACCGGTATAAAACTATGTATGATGAAATATCTTTATAAAATTGATAAATGGTAAAATTATATTCTTATAATAAATATTAAGAAACAAGGAAATTATACCATCAAGCTTCCAGTTTGCTTGAAATTAATTTTATATTTGTTCAGCAAATAAACTAAGGGTGGGTGGGGAAGGGAAATATTTTTAGGGTGGCAAATGTCCGCCCTTCTAAAATAGTTGAGAGAACCATTGTTCGCCTTGACAAAAAACTCAAAAGCGAGGAAAATGTCTGGAAGCAAATGCCCATTTTCCATATGGTATGGTTGAGCTAAACATAAACAAAAACAAATAAAAATAAAAAATATTTATTTTACTTCAGAGACATCATTAACACACTTGTAACAACAAAATCTAATATCTTAAGAATCTGTTCATGAAAAATGATACCAAAAATAGCCATGATTTGATAAACAGTCAACTTTTTAACAAAAAAAAAAGAGTTATTTATAACATCCAACAATAATTTTCTATAGCTGTTGCTATGGTAACATGATTAACATCCTGTATAAATTTTGAAAAATGAAATAAATGACATTTTCTGTCAATATTCGGTAATATGGTAGCCCTAATAGCTTTGCTGGGGTTAACTGATTCAACCATTGCATCCAGTGCAGAACAAGATCTGTCTGCACATCTGTGCAGTCTGATCATGGTCTGCACTGTTCATTATTTCTAAAACAAGAGCACCGCATGCACTGTTAATCCTTGTCTGTTAAAAAAAATTCTAAATAAAGCTTTCAGAACTATGCCCCTTGCCTAACAAATGCACCTTGCCATGAACCAAGTATTCCAAGTTTCATGTTGATACCTTTTCAAATGTTTAAATATTGGATAAATAAAATTTTTCTTTGAAACAGACGATCTAAAAAAGCATTTCTCCAAAAAGTGATAAAGCGTTTTGTTCAATTGACAAGTCCGTTCAAGAGGTTTAGCTCAGAAAGTGTTAAAAAGACATATATAGATGTATGAACAAAATACAATATAAAAGTACCAACAAAATTAATTCTCAGATATAGTGTGGGTCAGTAAACCAGCGATCACAATTTACAATATACACAGTCAGACCAAACTATCTATACATCCATTCACACACAGTAGATGTCCGATTTTAATTAAAGGAGCTCCGCTGAGGTAAAAAAAAAACCCTTAAAACATCAAAAATTTGAAACTCTTATTTAGATAAACTGTCCGGGCAATTAAAATCAGAATTTTTTTTTTTTTGAAAAATGATAAACAAATACACTAAGAATTCAATTAAAAATCATTTTTTTGTGTGTGCTCTTAACCCAAATTGAATTAAAAGCATATATACCATGTACAATTAAAATGATTATTCTGGAGGAAAAGATGGAGTGAGTGAATAATCTAGAAGTCTTGACCAACATCTAATAATATACAAATCATGAAAAAGTATTTCCAGTGACATGATGTAGAAACCATCTCAGTGGAGTCCCTCTAAACGTGCCCTTGTGTTATAACAAAATATAGCAAATTGAGGGTTGATTGCAAAACTGTTGAAACTCCTTCTTTATTTCATATAACTTACTGCAGTCTTGCGGTCAAGCCCCGAAATGGCAAATTTAATTCAATGGCCATAATGAAATGGTGAATTAGTATTTAAAGAAAGATTTTTATATGTAAAATTCATATTACTTTCATATTGAAATCAAATATCTGGTAGTTGTCAAGTAAAATAAACAGTTATATTAAAGATATACTATGCTCAATTTTGAAAATATCGATAATTGTTATACAATCTCTTTTTAAATATAAAATAAACATGTCTTAACTTTAATCAAAGTAGATAATTATGTTATAATTTAAACTCTACACATTGTATGTCCATATTATGAAAATATAGTGTTTTTAAAAAATCTGCCAGAAAGGACCAACTTTACTTGATCTGTAATAGGGAACGCAGCTTCCCATATATAATTTAGTATATTCTTTCATTCAAGTTAGAAATACTCAGTAAGAATCTCATATATTTCATTAAATTTCTGTGATAAAAAATACTTTACTCAAAGATGAGCATGGTATATCTCAAACAAGCAAACAATTCTTACAAATTAACACTATTACGTGACAACTGTTTTTTTGTTTTTTTTTTGTAATAAAAATATTTTTGTCTGCTATTTATTCTGATATGCTGTGATGAAGTATGTCCTCTACAAGTCGCCCAGTAAATCATCAGCATCGATATTCTCACTTGATTTGTTGCTGGTAGACGACCCAGTTTTGCGTAGACGAGATTTTCTTTCACTTCTGTAAATATAACGATACATTCTACTTATCCTGCTGAATTTGTGATGAACATGCCTTGTTTAAATTCGGCAAAATTAATAAGTATTTTAAGGGGTGTAAATATCAAGTGTGTTAATAACTTTAACTAGAAATGTGTTGTCACGCCATGGATGCCCCCGCATGCAGCCAAAATTTCAGATGTTACAATATTTAGTTCCAAATTTGTTTACATAAACTATTTTTTTTTATTTTAAGTTCAAAGCCCTTAAAACTATTCAATGTAAACACAAACCATTTTTATACAAAGTTCAAGGTACTAAAACTATTCATTGTTAACCTTTTGTAAATTGCATATTGCATATTTGTAGCCAAAATAATGACTACATACATTTCTACAAAAGTATGAGTGCTGAAACTAAATATTCAAAATTTTTTCAACATTCAAGAGAGATAACTTTGTCCAAAATCATTGAACCACAACCAAATTTGAACTTGAACTGCTTATTCTTAAGATGTATGTATATGTCATGTTGAATATGTACAACCATTGTGGAGATAATGAAGGGAAACTAAAAATTTCTGATTTTTTTCAAAGTTCAAGAGGGATACCTCTGTCAGCTATCATCAAACAATGACCAAAGTCGAACTTGACCTGTGTATTCTTATGACATATCCATATGTACAACTGTTGGGGAGATAATGAAGGAAAACTGAAAATTTCATATTATTTTCAAAATGAAAAGGGCATAACTTTGACGAAAATCATCAAACCTTGACCAAATTAAAACTTGACCTGCACATTCCTTTGATGTATCCAAATGTCAAATTTGAGTTGAATGTGAAATACAGTTTGGGAGATAATGAACTGAAACTGAAAAATTTCATATTATTTTCAAAGTGAAAGGGTCATTACTCTGCCAAAAATCATCAAACCATGAATAAATTCAAACTTGACCTGCGCATTCCTTTGAGGTATCCATATGTCAAATTTGAGTTGAATGTGTAATACCGTTCGGGAGATAATGAACGGAAACTGAAAATTTCATATTATTATTTTCAAAGTGAAAGGGGCATAACTCTGCCAAAAATCATCAAACTATTACCAAATTAAAACTTGACCTGCATATTCCTTAAACGTATCCATAGTCAAATTTGAGTAGAATGTGTAATATCGTTGGGAAGATAATGAACAGAAATCATCGAACCATGAATAAATTCGAACTTGACCTGCACATTCCTTTGAGGTATCCAAATGTCAAATTTGAGTTGAATGTAAAATACAGTTCGGCAGATAATGAACGGAAACTGAAAATTTCATATTATTTTCAAAGTGAAAGGGGCATAACTCTGCCAAACATCATTGAACTATGACTAAAGTTGGACTTGACCTGCGCATTCCTTTGAAGTATCCATATGTCAAATTTGAGTTGAATGTGTAATACCGTTGGGGAGATAATGAACGGAAACTGAAAATTTCATCAAGGGGTATAACTCTGTCAAAAATCATCGGACCATGACCAAATTCAAAGTTTACCTGTATTTTCTCATGATATATCCATATGACAAATGGAAAACTGATGATGACAGAATGACGGAAGGACAGAATGACGGTAGGATGGAATGACGGAACAGGGTAACAATATATGCCCCAGCCATTATACAATCATAATATCTTGACTTTTCCTTCGAAACAGACATGCTTAAAATGAATAACCAACAGTATATAATCCCCATCAGACTGCATGAATAAACAGGCTGCCTTGGCTCTATACTAGTGACAAAAGTTAATCACTTTTTGTATTAGCAGATTAAGTGTTAAATATGGCGCAGACACACATACCCAGGTGTAGTTTCACCAGATCCTACTCTAGGTAAGACTGGTTTAGCAGGCGTCTGCTTTTTCTGCTGCCGGCCTCTCTGTCGTCTTGTCCTACAATATACAAACATCAAAATGTGAGTTATGTGTTTCAGAATGTTTAACTGATGTTAAAAACAAGTCTACAAGAAAAAGATGAATACAGGTCATTTAATATACCTGATTAAACATTAAGTCTTTCATACAACGTTTTTACTGGATTATAAAGACTTAGAACACGTCACAGAGGGCTTCCTGGACAATGAAACAAACATCATGATGAAATGCTACCAAGCGGCTACAAAACTGGACTGGTCAGGCGTAGATATTATGGCCCAATATAGATTTGACCTAGCAGCCATAATAAATAGTGGCCATTATATATAAACAGAAATTACATATAAAGCATACCATCATTGAACAGTCCTAAGCTATGGGAGGTCACAATAGAGGTATGAGGCTGAGAGGTATGAAATGGGGTCTACTTTTTATAATACTGTATCAAACTTTACATGTACATGAACAGATAGTGTTTCCCACCAGTAATAAAATATTGATTGAACACTACTTATGATATTATATGTAAATTTTGGTGCAATAAACTCTCTTCTTATCATAATACATCACTGAATTTTTTTGATTTTTTTTTTGTTGTGTTTGATGTCATACCAACACAGTATAGGTAGTATGGCGATTTTCCCAGCTTTTCTGGTGGAGGAAGACCTCAGGTGCCCTTCTGTGCAATATTTCAGGTACAAACAGACACATGTATAGAACCACAGACATTCCATAAGCTACCTGGATAGCTTTCTCATATCTCAAAAATCATTCAAACGCACAGCGGTAAGGGGCAAGTGGTTTGAAATCAAAACCCTTAACCACTCAGCCATGAACACTAAATTCAAAAATCTATAAACCCATAATAGTTATATTGAATATTCATGCATTCATAACTATTTTTTATTGTTTGACCACTGACATCCTTAAAATTATAGTTAAGTGTATAAAGCTATAAATCTTTATACAGCTGATCAGTTAAATGACTACAAAAACCTTGTCTAATGTATAAAAATAAAAGAAAATTTCTTACCTTGTCACAGACACACCACTTTCATCATCATTATCCAGTATAAGAGAGTCATCTCCCCCTGATGCACGTTTCTTCGGATTCTCAACACGACTCCTTTTTGATTTGGGCTGAAAAAAAATATACACAAAATATTAAATGTATTATAATGTGTGTCTTTGAGCTGATTTACATTGTAATAACAAATATAAGCTTTCTCTCAGTTCAAAATCTATGGACTAACTTCTAAACCTGCTGTATTTGTGTAATGGATTTGCCCTGGCTTTGAATTTAGAACAGTCCATTCAAGGTTCAAGGATCTGAATATCAAAATACAACAAGAGCTGTCAGGAGAACAGGATGCTCAACTTATCTCTGTGCTTAATAGTAAAATAAGAGTTTTGGTAATGTAGAATTTTCTATATTCATAAAGTGGTATAATTCTGTCAAAATTCATGTAAAAGTCATTGGCCTTGGAAGTTACCACCTATTAAGCTCTCAACTAAGTGTGTGAAGTTTCAACCCATTCCCTTCAGTAGTTTTAGAGATACCAATTTGCACCCAAAAATTTAACTAAAGTGTGACAGTGATGCAGATTCATGGGCCAGTACATCTTTATATAGTACAGCTAAAACCTAACCTACCAACAATATGGAGCCAGGTCAGTCTTCACAGAACTGAAGACTTCAAGAGCAGGCTAAACTATCCCTAAACTGGCATAATAGGAAAATAACTTTGTTTTCAATACATGTATGATTAGTTTCACTTTCCAGATAAAAAGTTGATTGACATTTGAAATATCTTACATATCACTACTGTTAAATAAAATGGTGACTTTCCAGCTTTACTGGAAGAGACAGATAACATGTACCATCCTTGCATTACCACAGCCCACTCACCTTCAATATTGGAACTTTAGCTACAATGTTGGATAACCTGTACTTCATGTATATAGCCACTCCATTATACAACAGGTGTACGGTTAATATTTATTTTTAATAATTTGGTATTTAAATTTTAATATCTGACAATTTAAAGCTGCATACCTCCAGATAAGTCAAAATATTTTCAAGAAAATTAAACTTGAAAAAAGAAAAAATTTGAAGAGAATAAAAAAAAATTCAAGATTTAAATAATAATTAACATGTTTTGTGTGATTAAAAACTGATTTTGCAGTATTAATCACCATATTTCTACTGCATTACTAAAGCAGTAAGGGCTAATTTTGCATATTTTGGCCTCTTGTTGGTAATTTATATGGATTGTAAGTGCCATTTGCAATGTGTAAGTTGATATCTTTGTTCACTTCACAATATTTTACTTTTAAGGACTTTTTTTTCAAAAATTTCAAGAAAATTTGCATAAATCTGGAGGCATTAACATTTTATATATGATAAATCTGTTACACAAAATAAATAAAAAGTTGAACTCACTATGTCCTCTTCGTCAGTATTTTCTCCAGAATCACTGAAAAACAACAGTAAATCAATTTCAATGGTAAACATGATATAAACATAGTTATCATTTAAATAATAAGATTTTATAGTTTCTCACAAAGATAACAATATGCTCCTAAAAACATTCTTAAAATAAATGCCTTTTTTGTTTAATTTTAAGCTGATTTCAATACATTTTTGGTCATATCTTGGTTGTAGGTCCACCTTACCACTTTCCTGAATTTTTTTGTTTTTGTTATTTTTGTTGGGTTTTATTTCACACCAACACAGTATAGGTCATATGGTGACTTTCCAGCTTTACTGGTGGAGGAAGACCTCAGGTGCCCTTCTGTGCCTAATTTCAGGCATGAATCCAAAATTCTGTCAGGATTTGAACCCTAAGCGATGAAGGACAAAAGGCTTGAAGTAAATGACTTAAGATTCACAGTCCGGATGGCTTTCAACCACCAATGTTCTGTTAGCTTGCTAAATAACTTCCCGTTATAAAGGAATCCATAGTCCCTGTTGGGATTCGATGAGGGACAAGTGATTTAATGCCATTTAGCTGACTACACCAGGGTTTATACCTTGTATGTACTTTGCTTTCCTGTGTCTCAGTTTGTTGTCTTTTCACACCAGTCACAATTTTCTCAGAATCTAGTAGATAAAAATAATAACATGTTAAAAAGTTGAAAATTTTTCCAATTCAACAGACCAACAAAAGGGTGCTTGACCATTCTTGATAGTAGGCTTTTGAAAATGTCTGAATATTGGAAAAGAGGGGTGCAGTTTAATAATGATTTCTTGTCTAAAAGTCCACATGGTGGTCAATAATGTGTATTGGTATTTCACTTTCAAAGCAATAAGTTTGCAATACATTAAGAGGTTCAAATGGGATGGTATAAAACCATAAATTATATCAAGAAAGTAAATCTTGGAACCAACCAGTACTAAGCAATGAATGTAAAGTTTCTTGTTCATGAAAAACAAGGGTTTGAATCCACTCGGCCAGTGTTGAATATTGTGTACCGCTCAAGCCGGTGCTAGGGGACTTGAGGGATGTTGCACTTTTTCATTATCCCTCATGTACAGACTCAATCAAAGTGAGTCTGCAATTTTCATGTAATATTTCCGATTTAAATGCTTCTGAGGGAACACCTTTTTTGCAGATATTTATACTGGCAGTCTTATTTGAGTACATTGACTTCAAAGTCACGGACAGTAACATTGGGCAATTGCTATACATAAGAATCAATGAACTGTAGAGAATTGTTTTAAACTTTGATAAAAATGAAGTAATGACTGGTTAGTGAATAAAACTTTACTGTTCTACAGAGTTCATACAGACATCCATGCCAAAATTCAAGGACTTTTAAGCACTTTTTAAGCATGTTTTCCCATTTTTTAAGCATATTTGTTGCACATATACATGTGTATCAACACAATATTCTACCTAAGAAGGATAGTTTATTCAATATTTTTTTAAAGGGACTCCACTGAGGTTTTTTGACATGACTGGACTGGAAATAATTTTTTGAGATTATAACTCCATTTGATGTGGATATATACTAATAACATCTGTGCAAAATATCAGATCATTAGCTCGCTCCGTTTTTCCAGAATAATTATTATAATAGTGAAAAATGACCCAAAATTGAAAAGCGTTTAAACGCTTTTCACTCAAATCGGACTGAGCATACCACAAACGTATGATTTTCAATATATGTCTTGTATATTTCTTGGTTATATTTTATTTGTATTTCTGTTTTAAGTACTTATGTTTATCTATTTGAAAAAATTAAAATTTTATGTTTTTAGGCTTATAAACCTCAGTGGAGTTCCTTTAATTATACACATATTCTGGCCAAAATTTTAAGGTTTTATAGAAAAGCAACACAGGGTGCATCAAATACAAATTAGTTCAAAACAACTGCAATTTGTCCACTTACTGTTACCTTAAGCAAACAATTCTTTGATTTTGATACTACATTGGATCATTTTATTTTTATTTTGTTAACTGTTGATTTTTACCGACACTATGTCATTCAATCATTTTCAAGCATATTTTCAGCAAATTTAAGCACTTTTTAAGCACTTTTCAAGATAGTAATCAATTTCAAGGACTTTTTAGCATTTTCTTAAACATTTATTTTAGACTGTATGAACCCTGTACTAAGATTACATGAGTACAGGTCAATTACCTTCAAATGTTGGCTTTGAAGTTCTACTGTAGGGAACTCCACTTTGTACTGGAATTAGTTAGATGGTAAGTCAATAACATGTATACAATGAAAGGTCATAGAGTTAAAATAAATTATCAAAAATTCTGTTTAGAAAATAAGTTGTTAATTAAGGATTGAAACAAAAGTTCATTTTTTGTACCTATTGACATCTGGAGTAACACAAACTTAAGTGAACTTTCCTGCTTTAATTGCAATTTTTTTAAAAAATGTAATGATCAGATTTCAAAAATAAGCAAACTTCAATGCTCACAAATGAACAACCAAGTGATTTCCTACGGAAAGAGACCTGATTGCACATTAATTATAGGACTAAGCATATGGTAAAATTATTACATTGACATCACATCTTTTTTATGTGTAAAACAGACACAAGAAAATATCTACTGTTAGTCAACAAATATTTGTGACTTATTTAGTAATTAATATTCCAGGAAGGTACTGAAGCACAAATACACAAGTATATCTGAAGTATCTAGCGTCTTAATTGGTAAATTAAGTTTTGTTTACGCATCTTCTTTAGACATTGTTTATAAAGAGTTACACAACCAAATATTCAAAATTATATGGGCATATAAATATTAGCAAATATCCGCTAATACATGTGTTTCGACCCTTGGCAAAGTAAATTTTTTGGGTAACAGTATTTATTTACTAACTTTATTTGGTCATTCCTGTTTTTTCATGGCGCGGCTCAAATACTAACCTTGTTCCTTCAGTTGACGAATCTTTTCCTTCTTACTGTTTAGAACTAGAGAGAACTGTAACAAATACAGGAGTGTAACATTACTATACAAGTGTATACATGTATGTATTATGTTAAAAATAAGAGAATGAGTTCTTCATCGAAAGTTTCATTTTACCCTTTTACTGATGAATTTGTGTGATGGATTTGCCAAACTTTGAATTTGTGACAGTCCACTCAAGTTGAAAGGATTTCAGTATCAAAATTCACAAATTGAGCTAACAACAGTATAAACTGATGACAAAGGCTATTACCATTCCTTTTTTGTTCCAGCTAAATAACTGATTGTTGTCTCTACTTGTAACACTTTACAGTAAACATGATGTCTAACTTCAATGAAACACATATACAGACATACATATATAAGCCGTGTCACGACAAAACCAACATAGTGTGTTAGCGACCAGCATGGATCCAGACCAGCCTGCGCATCCGCGCAGTCTGATCAGGATCCATGCTGTTCGCTTACAAACCCTATTACAAGTAGAGAAACTGATAGCGAACAGCATGGATCCTGATCAGACTGCGCGATGCGCTGGCTGGTCTGAATCCATGCTGGTCGCAAACCCATTATGTTGGTTTTGTCATGACACGGCTTATATACTGTCACAATTCTATTTGAGTCATATACAGACAAACAATAAACTATCCCCTAAAAGGCAGATGTATAATAAGGAAGCTCTAAGTAAAACAAAACTTCATGAACCTTCATACAAGTTGGTTGCTAATATCACAATCCCAGTTCAAAACAAATATTTGTATAACATTCTTACTAGAAGATATTGATAAATTTCCTGTTGTTGTTATTTGAAATATTATGTTTGTTAGAGAGTTACTTAAGGATGGTCTCTGTGAAAGTTAGTCAAAACAAGTGCCAGGAATGGTCGAAAAAAACAGGTTTTTCACCTATTACAAATGATCATAATCCTTTCAATAACATGAAAAGCTTTGTAAACAAAAGTGTATTTAAACAACAAAGCCATGATTTCACTAAAATTATTATATCACAAAAGTCTGAAAAATAGGCACCAGGACACTTGATGAGGACAGTTCTGTGAAAATTTTGTTGAAACTTGCATGCAAACCCACATTCACCAATCTAATAAACAAGTGATTTCTTTCAGAAAACCTGGTAAATAAGACAAGGAGAGAACAAATGACCTGTCTGTATACAAATATAATGATTGATTCTGACAAAGACCCAAGAAGCCATGTTCTTTTTGATTGACAATTATTTCTTATTGGATCAAACTTAGATCAAGGCAAAGCCTATATTATCTATTACAGCATCAACCTCAATTTATTTAGCAGTAACATTTCCAAAACAGATTCTTTCATTTTGACAATCCAGTAATCAATTTCATCAGATTAAAACAGACATTGCCACAACAAAGAATTGCCTCAACTTTCACTTTGCCCGATCAGAAATAGACAAGAGCCGGTTGAACCGGGTGATGCTCCCCGAATAGGTTTTGGACACAGGAAGATATACCTCTTGTAGTGTCAAAGTTATGTCACAGACAAAGTTGAAAGTGTAAAAACAACCCAAATGTTGTACACGACACATTGTCTCAATATGGTGATCATTTCTGTGAAATAGTTTTAAAATCCGACTTCAAATAACAAAGTTATGGGCCGGACTCACATTCGGGACGTACGTACGTATGGACGGACGGACTGACGGACAAACAACCCAACGACTATATGCTCCAATGACCAATCAACATACCAAGTTTGAAGTTCCTAGGCCTAAGCCTTCTTTAGTAATTGATCGGAAACTGTTTTTACCTACAAGGTCAATGTGACCTTGACCTATGACCCCAAAATCAATAGGAGTCATCTGCTGGTCATGACCAATCACCATACCAAGTTTGAAGTTCCTAGGCCTAAGCGTTCTTTAGTTATTGATCGGAAACCGTTTTTACCTACAAAGGTCATTGTGACCTTGACCTTTCACCCCTTGACCCCAAAATCAATAGGGTTCATCTGCTGGTCCTGACCAATCACCATACCAAGTTCCTAGGCCTAAGCGTTCTTTAGTTATTGATTGGAAACTGAATTCGGGACGTACGTACGGACAGACTGACAACCCGACAACTATATGCTCCCCCGAAATTTTTCGGGGAGCATAATTAGCCCTTGCTTTCAGTATAGAGCCAGTCCAACCTGCACACCCATGCAGATGCAGTCTAACCAGGCACTAAACTACTAGCTGACCAATCAACCTTTAGATCCTGATATCCCCCCAAAAGGTAAGTGAACAGTCCCAAAATGGTAACTGGACAAGTCTATTTTAAATATTCACCAGATTCAGGGTTAACAATTATATACAGTAAAAAAGTAAACATCTAGTCCATTCTTTGTAAACATCTAGTCCATTCTTTGTACATCTAGTCCATTCTTTGTACATATATGCATTATGTATACATGAATACTTTCTCATGTCAACAATATATTCAATACCAATATGGTATATAATGAATTCAACTTAATTAAATGAGAACGTTTGATATTAACCTACCTTTGAATACAGGTCATTTTCAAGCTCTTCCTTGGCTACAACACACTTCTCCAGTCTCTGAAAAAGCAGTTTAAATAGGTAATAATAATCTACATGTATACATACAAACATACATTTACACATTGCATTCTTGATATACTATTCCAGTTCTAAATTAATCTGAAACTTTTATAGCAAAAGGTGAAATGTGTATACTTAACCTATAAGGAAATAAATAATAGGGTAAATAACATTTGGGCATCAGCCATAAAAAGCACTGAAACATATTAGATACATTCTTTTGCAATATCTATGTAAACGTTCATGTGATAATTTAAGAAACCTTTTAGATTTGGTGAAAGCAATAAAAGTGTTAAGGTGAAAGCTAGCAATTAACTTAACATCTACATATATGAATTTGTATCAATTTAAACATGTACTTGTCCTGCTTTACTTTGGGTACAGTCCATTACATGTGAAAAGGAATCAAATTAATTAAACGGACTCAGTCCATGCTGGCCTGGCTCAAATTGTGCTGCCAAGATAAAGTGATAATTATCATTACAATATAAGGGCCGGTTAATTCTGATTTTGACTAACTTGTCTCTTTTTATCTGAAGCATTTCTTAACTTGTCTATATGATATTTATATTCATAAAGCATATTCTTGGAAATTCCTACTTTTCCGTACAAACTGTGGGACAACCTGGGCAATACGGACAAATGATTTTGCCATCCCTGAATACATGTAATAATACAAAGAGTTTTAGCAAACAGACCTTGAGAGCATTGATACGTTCCTGGGACAGACGCTGATTGTCTGTTTCAAGATTGTGTATTCTTGTCTTCAACTCCCCTATATTCTCGATACAGTGATTGTAAATCTGCGTGATCATCTGCGGGGAGTCAACACGAGACTTCAACATGGCACTACCGAGCTGAAACTAATGTAACAAATTGGGAGTTAAGATTAAACCCTAACCAAACTAAATATCTTAAATGGACTTGTCCATCTTGGATATTAATGGATATTATGGATTAAACCATTCATCATCTTTAGGGAAAATGAAAATTGAAAACAGAACAGACCATGATCAGATGATACTGATGTGCCCACTGATATTGGTTTGCACTTGTTTAATCTTTGCTGCTGGGTGATTAATGGTTCAAATAAGTCTACCAAAGCTTTGAAAAACATGAGTCAAAATATTTTAATAGAAACAAACTTGAGCAGAAATATGGTGATTAATACAGCCAAATCAATACTGTAAAACAGTCATAAATTGCACATAACATGTAAATTATTACTTGAATCCTGAACCTTTTTACTTTTCTTATAAATCTTAGAACTTCTTTCTCTTAAAATATTTTTATATCATTTGGAGGCATACAGCTTTAAGGGTTAAACGATTAAAAATCATATGTCACTCCTCACTCTTTTAAACCAAGGAAATAAATGATATGCAAGGAGTAAAATGTATAATATATTGATGGGTTCTTACAGTTATATTTTCATCCTCGACGTGCTTCTTCCATGAAAATTGAGCACTGTCTTTACTTCTCTTCAGTTCATACTGGAACGAGTGTTTACTCTCACCATTGTTTGTCAGGGCCTTCAGGGTTTCCTTTACATATTTGTTAAACTGGATCTTAAGACGGGAGCATAATGTGTCAAGGTCGTCAGCAGACACTGAAATATGAAGCTTTATATGCGTGAGGACAACTTATGTAAATAAATTAATTGTATACATATCAACTATACAAAATTTTATTTTCATAATAAACATGTTTATCAATTTATTATTTTTTGTATTAACTGGATTAAAAGTTACTGATCCCTTTTTATATAATATTTTTGTTTACTTAATAATTATTTTTGAGCTTTATCAATTTAAATTTACATTGTAAGCACACTGTGCTAATTTTTAGTGTGATATTTATGTGTATAATTTATATTCATTCATGGGTGTTAGTGCCAGTGGCCTTGCACAATAATAAATAAATTTGTTTTCAATTTATAAGACATTTACAATAAGAAAAAAACATAGTCCAGGGCCAAAAAAAACTTCTTTGTAGAGGCCGAATAAAGGCTGCTTCCTCAACCAAACTAGCCTCTTTTTTCCCTAGTTTGGTCCTCAAAATTCCTAAGTCTTTTGAAATTTCCCATAGAATTCAGTACAAAATTAAATGATGGTGTTGAATTAAGGTCTTTAAATTATTACTGCCTTATTAGTATTTCCCAGTGCTTTTTTTTCTATTTTGAAGAACTTGTTAAAAGTTTGTGTTAAATTTGAGTCCCCTTTTCCAAAAGTATGCCAAAATCACGCATATTTTCCCCCAAGAAAAAGGCAGAGGTCCCTCCCCAAAAATGGTGTTTTGGCCCTGGTGACTAAGTCTGCAAACTAGGGTAAAAGTACCTTAAATTAGCTTGCATGCCACTATCTAAATAAAAACGATGACATCACAATAAAGTTAAAAATAATGTAAATATATCAGGTCAATTAGCACAAAGAAAACCCAACGTCAGCTGTGGTGTAGTGGTTAGCATACTGGACTGCAATCCAGGGACCTTTGGGTAATATACTTTTATTGCATTAATCAGTTAATCTATTAAAATCTGTTCATCTGATGATGTGTTTGAAAAGTGCATCATTACAAACATTATTAGAACTTTAAATGATCAAATCTTCACTACCCACTAAGAAGTTAAAACATTGCATACAAAACTTCATGCATTTAATTTTTTGCAATTGCATAATTTTCATTAAAAACCATTGTAGATATATATACATGTCTATATTTCCTAGACCCAATCAGGTAACTGCTCTGTGTGCTAGAAAGTGATATGATACAAATATACTTATGTTATGATTTAAGGATTTCGAACATAATTTTAAGATGTGACAGTGAATTTTATTATTCAAAAGTCATTCATTTTTTACTTTGGTGCATGATCAACTTTAATTTTTAGCAGCATGCCTCAAGAGTAAAAATATCAAAATGTATCGTCCTATTGAAGTTATTCTGCTTTATTGTGAGTCACGTACGACTAGCCAGGACACACTGTATTGGCTAGCCGTTAGGGCTGTGCATTGCCATTTTTTTCTGTCACGATACATATCACGATATTTGTTTTTCAAAACGATGCGATTCACGATATGTATTGCATACTTTGAAGAAATGCGATGCATATTGCGATTCTTATGTTGCGATGCGATACGTATCACGATACTGACTTAAGACTTAGTATATAAAAAATTGGCCATTTGTTTACAGCATAATTATGAATACAATATAAAACTTTAATTACAATAACAAAAAAATAAACTCTTTAACTTGTTGTTATAACTTGGTTTCCAATTTTGATCTTTTAACAATTTACTTTTCTGATTACTTGAGGATTAAAGGTATTTTTAATTAAACCATAACAGCAAATTGATATCTACTTGCTATTCTAACACTAAAGTCCACCACTGTAAATATGGCAGTTTAACAATTTCAGTCTTACAATACACCACTAAAGATTTTTCTTGTGAAAAAAAATAGTAACAAGTGATCTACATTTAGGTCAACAACTGTGAAAATGACAGTTTATAAGTTTCAGTCTCAGTTTTCTCGAAAGATTTGTGCTCAACCCCAGAGTATTTTATTTTGAGTTTGCAAATTTTGCAAACACTCCGCGTCCGGTCTTCCACATTATACAACACTGTCTGATGGTTCCCCAAAAACTACAATTTCCCAAAACTCGTGACTTATATGACCAAGGAGGATTGACTGTAATTTCCCCGTCTACATATTTTGCAGTCTTCATGTTTTCTGTTTGTTTGTTTGCTTTCTTGTTTTTTTACGGGAAAATGATGTCAACGGAAATGAAAGTATAAATACGTGACGAATATCACATGGGGATGTTGTCATCATCACTATTTTAGTGCTACAAAATAAAATTACAAATTCATGTTTGTAGGTTGTTTTTTCTTGAAATCGCACAGATCTCTAATTATGTTTTTATTATAAACAAGTTCAAAGAACACCAGCCCATTTACATGGAATTGATAAAACTTGGTTAGTAACCGTTAAATGATTGCGGACATGGGGAAACGAGATGACAACGATGGTATGATAATAGTCGCGCTTGTTTATTGTTTTTATCCGAGCTATTTTTCTTTCTTCAGTCTTTCAAAAACTATGTTTTGTCCTTATATTCCTGGAAGATATTGTTAGTGTATTGCGATACCTTCCCGCTGTATCGATACATCGGGAGGTGAAATATGTATTGCATCGCAATATATTGGAATTTGTAATTTCATTACGATGCATACATCGGGGACAAGACAGATCGCGATGCATCGATGAATCGTTACACCTCTACTAGCCGTACGGCACTTTTCAAAATTATATGGAAGTCGAAAATGCATGTGATATTTTGTGTCTTTAAACTAGGATTTTAATCAAATCTCGCATTTGTCCTAGTGTATTCACTTTAATAAAGATGCTCTGCCATTTTTTAAAAAAATGAATACGAACAAGCGTTGTATAATCTATTTTGATAAAAGTGTCAAAGTTATGTTATTATAGTTATGAGGTACTTGATTTTCATGCTTATGATCTGTTGTTTTATTTGTATGAAAGATGAATTGTTAATTAAGCACATGAATCGAATAAATAATGATCGAAGGGAAAGAAGGAAAGAAAGAAATTTATAAATAAAATGAATACTGAAAAAAAACCCGACGAAAAGCAAAAATAATTTAATAATTTTCAAATACAGTAGATAAATATCGGACATAACAGCACAATCAATTAATTGACCTTAATTAAAGCCTACCTAGGGACTGACAATAGAATTTTAGAATGCGTTCCACGGAACATGCAAACTTTCCTTAATCAAGTTAATGATGGACAGACTTCTATACCGTCGGTAATTGACCAATTTGACGCAATTATCAGAGCCCAACAACAATTATTTTCGGTTCCTTTTTTTCAATTTGAAAATTAAACATAATGAGACAAAAAAGGATTATTATCAAAATTTTGCAAATTATTTCAATTGATGTTATTTTAAATCTACAACTAAAAGCTATTTTTTCTCGGCGTCTCGAGATGACAAAAATATATATTCGTACTTTCTTTACTGTAGCCAACAAGGCGATTAATCTCTTAAAAAGTAAACATACAAAGACAATTGCTGTTTCTTGGTTAAAATCCTCGCTTAAAGTCATAAAATAACATATGCATTTTCGACTTTCATATAATTTTGAAAAGTGCCGTACATCTAGCCAATACAGTGTGTCCTGGCTAGTCGTACGTGACTCACGTCCATATAACTAACCTGAACCAGTCCAAACTGTGCCATCACAGCAAAGTGTAAGATCAAATCCCTCCTGTCCACCATTCTTCAACTTTGTAAGTAAGAAACATTCCTCGTTCTCCTTAGTTACAACTCGGATAAACTCACAGTCATTCATCCCAGTAGCAGCTCTGCAAAGAAAGAAAATACATAATTTGTGGGCGAACAATATGCACTAGTAGGATTGTATGTATTCACCGGATGAAAAATTAAATGGGATGGCATCAAATATAAAGAGAGTTCCTTGTATCATAACATGGCGCAACAGATTTTTCAATCAATTAGCGCTAAAGAAAAAGCTATGTTGTCCATGTTTGTTTATTCACGAGTATGTATTCTTTGAAGGATCATCGCTCAAACTTACGGGCCTTCCGATAGGGATAAAATCCACACTCGCACCGCCTGTATTTTACAACTGTTACAGATTATTCCATTGGTTGAATATATTCATTCCGTCCAATGTAATGATAGGTAACAAATTCCGACTGATCAACACGTCAAAATGGTAAATATTTTTTAAGAATACCATTTCATTCTTATCTTGTTCAATTTTGCCCTTTAACAGTCAGTTTTTTAATCAAAATCAGCAGTTTTCATTTTACATTACAGTATTTTAAGAAAGCTTCATTTATCTGTAAGAACTACTAAAAAGATCGTCAAGTGTACTAGAGCTCGGATGTGTACCCTTTATTAGCCAAACGGAATCAGCCAAACAACTTGTGCGCCAGTATTTCTAATATACTTGACGGTCGCATTTAGCCAACTAATTGTATTGCACATTGAGATGTGCTATTTTGTGTACTCAGTATGGGCAATATTTTCTCTTTATGCGAGATTCTGACCCAGAACAAAAGCGAGATTCTGACCAGAACAAACTAGCATTTGCATGTCAAAATATTTTGACAACCTTCAGCAAACATCTGACTCTGTAATTAATCTAGATGTGCGTCTTGCGTAAAATACGCATATAAATCGAAAAAGACGCACAGTTTCAAAATTTGTGCAAATCTGGTAGTTTATAATCCAAAATATCATGATGAGTGATTTCTATGAACAGTTTGATTACTTTAATTTCATCAGTTGAATAATTTATCAATTTCTTCAGTTGAATAATTTAATTTCCTATTAATACAGGTGCAAGACTCATCCCCCATTTGCTTTAAATCCCAAACAATTGTTGCTTGTGATCGGTAACCGCCATTATCGGCATTAGCCAGTCAGAGCATCCATTTTACATGAGAGCGAATCGCCTACAATGGTGAAATATAAAACGAGGTTGAGGCAGAGATCTCCCTGCGCCATTGGCGCTAAAAAAATGAGAATGGCACAGGAAAATCGTCAGCAAAGGGCCAATTTTAAGGGCGCATATAAAATCTTTGCCAGACTTATATTATATGTTATTTAGTCATCCAGACAAAACTGGTACCAACAGCAACAGGTTACCGATTCCCCTGTAATTACTCATATTCTTGAGTTTATCCATTTCCCTACAGCATTTTTCCAAGTTATCTACTTACCTAATCCCTTTCCCACACAGATACGCCTTTCTACTACCGCATTTCTACTACCGTAAATTTATTCCAATAAAGCAAACAAAAAATAGTAGATCTACTTAATATTTAAAATAATTATCGGTAACTGAAAAAAAGTGTTGCTTTTTAAAAAATGCTGTAAGTTACAGTATAATCTGACAGGTGTGCAAATTGATTTCCCCTAAGGTCACTGAAGTTCACGCGGAGTGTAAAAAAAAAAAGATGTCTATTACGTCATCAAAATATTTGACAGAGTGATTAACCAATCAGGGAAATATTGTGCATGACTTTTTTCATGATCAAAAGGTCTGTCTGTGTATGCTTTCTACACAGAGGCATACAAGGAGCAATAAAAGTCGTCAGTATACAGTGTGGCAGGGACATTTTGTGCAAATTACGAACAATTAAAATGGATAATGCACACTATTAGACATACGTAGTAAGAAAATATAAATTATGCAAATTAGATTTTTGAGCAGCCAATAAAAATTGTTTTGCCTGCAATTAATATTAGTACCAAAAATAACTTTTTTATACACTTATTTAATTACTTAATCCCTTGTTATAAAAACATGCAAATCATGTCAAGGATCTGCTATTAAAAATAATTTCTGCTAAGAAGTATCTATATTTACTATGTGACTCATTGATTTTGCTACAGAACTCATTTATCCGACTCATTGTAAGGAATTTCTAGATTAATCACTGGTATAATATCATTTAGTGAAATAGGTCACCTTTGCAGTCCACCCCCTTACCAAGTTCCTCCCAAGAAGTTTTTTTCCTGACTGTTCGCCCCTATTTTAAAAGAGAACTTTCTGCATAATTATGTGCAATAGCCTATTTGCAGTCCTTTTTTTCTCTTAATATGTATTTTGAGAAAACGCCACATGGCAAATTTGGGAAATTTGTGTCGTAAATTTTTCAAATTTGGGAAAAAAGTGAAATTTGCCATTTTGGGAAAAGTGGTAGCATTCAAGGTGTTACAATTGTTAAAATAAATCTAAATAAATCTTACTTAAACTGTTCAGCTTTTTCTGTCATATCAAAAATACAAAGACAGGCTAAAATTTGTACAAATGTAAAACTGATATCAATTGAAAATCCTGTTTTTATTCACAAAGCATGAATATATTCTGTAAGGCTATTTCGCGACACCAAAATTCAAAATGCCGACTTCTAGATTGAGAAAAAAAAATTTGGATTGGGAATGGGGCCAAATTCCAATATTCCGACCCGTGGGATTAGGGGAAAAAGTCCTGATTTGCAGATTGTTCCTCTCCATTAATGGAATGATCATTTTTATTATAAATTAAAAGATTCTTTGTAATATTAAACAAATGGGTACCGTAAGTTAGTTATAAGATAATTGATATAAATTTCAGCAGAATAATTCCTACACAATAGGATTTATCATTCAGAACATTTAATTTAATTGATATTATTGCTATAGTTTTACATCAATTGCATTGTAAAATTCATTGTAGATCTATACATTTTTCTTTAATTTATGTATTTATGGTAACAAAATAGTTGATATTTTTTAAACATTCCAGAGCTAAATCTTTAAACTTTTACTTTTTTAGTTAGCTATTTAAACAAATGACCGTAGTTGATTAATTTAGCTCTACACATAATAACAGGTGTTTATCAACTAACAAACACCCAACAACCTTAATCTCTCACAAATGGATTAAAGTACCTGAAAAAGTTGTTACATGTAAACAGTATAGAAATATATCAATTAATTAAAAAAAAAAAATTAGTGGGATTATTTAGAATATTTTTGTTGACTTAATTGATAATATCAATCACAAAGAAATTTTTATGTGGTAGAACTGTTTGCATATTTATTTCAAAATTGTGGGAGAACAGTCAGGGTTGAAGAAGAAACTGGCAAGAGAGAGAAAACTTGATCATTCTAGCAGGGGGCCGGTCATCATTGACATTTTTAGCTCCACTTAGTGAAGAGCTGTCCAAATTTCAGATTAAAGTTTTTTTTGGACAGCAATATAACTTCTGTAATTCTTAAGCCAAAAAGGTATAAACTTCAGACTTCAAATGTATGTTCCTTATCATCAACCACATCTTATGTGACAAGGTTCATAACTCTAGTAGCAGTATTTCCAGAATTATCTCCCCATGAACTTATCTCCTTATGAATTTAAATATATTTTTTTTTTTAATGTTATCTTTTATTACAATTTCTTTGTTTCTAAAGGTATCTACTTCAAACTTCAAATATATGTTCCTTACCATCACCCACATCATGTGTGACAAGATTCTTAGCTCTAGCATGAATATTTTCAGTATTCTGATTATGATTTATCCTCATTTTTTTCACTGTCAAGCAGAGATAAATTAGTTGTATATTTCAAAAGATTGGAAATTTTAATGGCGATTGAACAATTATTGATAAAAACAAATGTTTAGAATAAAATATATTAACTGCTGAAAATATGAAAAGACTGTCTAAACTGATAATTTCAGAAGGATACATGTATTTATAGATTACTCGGGGTTATTGATTACTTGGGTGACATTAAGTTTTATCTTAAAATTGAAAACCAAAATGACAAAAATAGAATTAATTTTATTTTATTTAAGCAATCACCAATCACCATTCACTCTTGGGTTTGTATAATGTCACCTTGTAAGAATTCAGGAGTTCAGGTGCATAAAAATAAAAAAATAAAAATAAAACATACCCTTCTCCAAAGTGTAGCTGCATTTTATGTTTTAAATATAGCACAATATGTTGATGTATAATTTTTTTACATTCACAGTCGGCTATCTTCAATTTCCAAAGTCTTCTGACAGTTGTGTTACTATTGATATGTACATGTGCTTATATACGGTCCATAGCGCCAAGTCTTCTTGACAAAAACAAGGAAGGGTAAGTGCAAATTACTTAATTGTATTGCTCACTGTTGAAATAAAGGATTGATTTTTGCCTTTTCAGTTTGAAGGTAATGAATGTCCACTCTATAAAATTAAAGGTGTGGGGTTTTGTCCACTGTGGTGTTTTGTCCACTCTATAAAATTTTGAAGTGTGGGGTTTTGACATGTGGGGCTTTTCCTACATTCACATGTTCAGCATGCCATTTTCATATAGAATTAAGAAACAGTGAATTATTTAAGCACTGGTCATTTCATGTATGGGTGTAAATATGCATCAAATAAATATACATGTACAAGAATATATTTGAACTAAACAATTTAAAACATTTATATTGACAAATAAGAAGTACAAATGTACATGTCCAGTTTGTCTGTCCACTTCAGTTTAAAACGATTTAATGTATTCAAATTTGGGATGTACATGTAGCAAGCTTATGTTGAAACCCAGGTTGGGATTGCTTTTCAGGGATCAAGGTCCAGGTCACTGTTTCTAAAATTAGAAAAATGGTTTCTGGACAATAACTAGTGTTAGGAATGAGATTTTGTTATCAAACTTGTTATAATTTATAACAAGTTTATATGAAGACCCAAATTTAATTGCTTTTGGATCCCCTTGGGTCAACTCAAGGTCACTGTTATTAAGAATAGAAAAATGATTTCTGGACAAATACTAGAGTTAGGAATGAGATATTGTAATTGAACATGGTATATAGCAAGATTTATGAAGATCAAGGTAGCTAATGTGATTGTTGATGGACCCCATAGGTTTAAGGTGAAGGTCACTATTACTAAAAATAGAAAAATTGTCTTGGGAGATAACTAGATGGAGAAATGAAATATTGTAATGAAACTTGGCATATAGAAAATTTTATGGACAGACCTAGCTTAGGATTGCAGTTGGACACCAAGGTTTAAGGTCAAAGTCACTGTTACTTAAAATAGAAAAATGGTGTCCTCACAATTTTTCTTGTTTTTACAAAGATAATGATTAACAGATGATTACACTCTATTATTAACAAGGCAATTAATTGTGATAATTATTGGTACACCATAGAAACATCATAAAATATAGGTTGAGTTAAAGTTTTGCATTAGACCACTTATTTTACAAAAAGTTAATGTGGCGGGTGAGGGTATTAATAAGGAACCAAATTCACCGAGGCATGTTTACTAAATTTAACTACACATTTACTAACAACTTTACTTCTTCTGTTCCTTTCATTTCACTGAGTAATTCTTTACTACATATAGCATTGTAGCACGATAGAAACCTTGGACGTCATTGGCATTCATCTCGCTAACAAAGCTGCTATCCGGAGAACTGAGATTGCTCCCACTGTGATTTAATGAACACTATGACTCAGAAATCCATATTTTTGTAATTCTTTAGAAATGCCAAACATGTGTTTGATAATTTAATGTTTTAATAGTGGATAAAGAGAAATTGTTAAACAACTGAAAAAAGTAGCGCTGAACATGCAGTCATGTGTCGAAAAGGTAGCAAAATGTAAACTGTAACAGAATAGTATGTCACTTCCGTACAAAATATTAATTCACTAAGTATACCATTTGCAAACAGAGCAAAATAACCAAAGGATTTTTTATGTATTTTGTACATGTATATGGCAAAGGAGTGTATCTTTGGAAACAGTTACCAAATACCAAAGAGAGAATTTACTTTTTGATAAATAAAAATTATAGCATTTCTCAGGCATAATGGGCCTTTAATGCTAACAACTGCAGATTCTGAAGCTTTCATAACTTTTGTATGTTATTTCCAATTTGACTTATACCAGCTTAAACTTGAAAAAAAAACAATACTTATGTCAAACCAAAATGTTGAATTGTGTTTAAGGTCAAATTATTGAATTTTGTCTGTGGTAACTTTGTTACAATGTATATTTTTTAAACTCTTGTACAAAAAACAACACTGTTACCACACCAACATGTTCATTTATTCAAGTTTAGCCTAAATTGACCTTAAAGTGACCTTTACTATCATATGTCAAGTTATTGAATTATGTTCTTATTGCTTTAACTTTGTTATACATGTATTTTTAAGGGTATAATTATTGTACAAAAAAACAACTCTGATTGCCACACCTACACGTTGAACTATTCATATTTAATATTGACCTTAAAGTGACCTTGACCATCATGGTCAAGTAGTTGAATTTTGCTCATATTGCTTTAAATTTGTTATGAATGGATGTGAGTCCTTCTTTGAAAAAGCAACTGTTATGACGTGAACATTGACATATAAATTGATCTGTGTTATAATGACCTTGATCTGTAAATGACCTTAACTGTCAAGTTTAAATATGAAATTTTAATTCAGTTCTGTTCACAAAAATATGGGTTTTTCCTCTGGTGTTTGATACAGTAGCATAATAACTAAAAGATTACAATCCATATATTTTGAAATTCCTAGGACTGTCATTGAATATCGCAATATCTATATATCATTGATATCCATCATCTGATACAATATTGATACACACTTTCAAATATAGATACAAGCTAAAATTTGTATACCTCTCTTTATTGCCTAATAAGAGAAGTCATTTTTTTCCAGTTTTCTTGGCTAACTTGAACTTTAAACTCTGTTTTCAAATGTCAGTGACAAAAAAAAAGAAAGAAAAAAAACTTTTCTGTTAGATTGTAGTATTTGTAATGTCTAATACAAACATGCATAACACCATGATCCCGATTTATAACACACGTTTAAATGTATTTAATTTGTATCTTCTGTCAAAGTCAATATATTGAAAAATTGTCAATATTTATCTCTCTATATATCATTACAAAATTTTCCATCAATGACAGTCCTAGAAATTCCCGATGGAAACAATTTGCAATTGCATTTTCCCAATTACTGCATTTGCTCAATTTCTGTAAAATCCCAATTCCAGCATTTCCCCCCAATTCCTTTATTTCCCAATTTATTCATTTTCCCAATTTCTGCATTTTCCCAATTTCTGCATTTCTCTTATTCCATTAACATGTATAAGTGTTGCCAATGTATAAAGGTCAGGTGTGTGGGTTTCATTCATTATTGATTTAATAATTATGTTCATATTTTGTAACAATAATGTTCCATCATTGTCTCATGTTATATTTCAGGTTATTAGGAATATTCTGGAAATGTGCAAGAATAGGTAGGCATAATGTATACAATAAATTTATCTAAATACAGAAGTGTTTCATTTAAAAGTAATTTACACTAGTCAATAAACTTTTTGTACATGTAATTTGAGAGTATAATATTAAGACTTCCAACTAAAATAATTTTAAACTTATAAGATCAAGTTGGACAATTTTCTTTTATGATTTTTTGTTATACATAATTATATATATTATGGAAAACTGAATGTTCAAGACAGAATGTATAGCAACTCTATCACATGTAACAAAATGATTACCATTATAAGTAAAGATGAGTTTCTTAATAATATGTTATAATAATGTTTTTCTGTATTAAAGTTGCATGGCTCCAAATGAGCCAAAATATTTCAAAGGAATCAAACTAGAGAAATATGTACTATGATTTTTAGAAAAGGAAAAAAATTCAAGTAATAATTTACATGTTATGTGCAATTAATGACTGATTTTGCAGTATTTATCACCACAATTCTATTGTACTGTTACTAATGCAGTAAGGGCTATTTTTGCATATTTTGGCCTATTTTTGGGGTAATTTTGTGGATTGTAAGCACAATTTGCAATGTGTGAATTACTTTCTATGTTCACTTCACAATATTTTACTTTAAAATACATTTTCAAAATTTTCATTAAAATTAGAATGATCATCTGGAGGCATGCTGCTTTAAATGGTAATTGTATTTATAACCTGGTATAGATCTTTATAAAAAAAAAGCTGTTATCTCCATTAAACTGTGGCAATCTTTGTTCAAATTCAATGTATGTTTTATCTAAATTATCAGCATGTTATTTATACATGTACTTGAGCAATGTTTATATTTTTTGCTTCAGGTGAAAGAAAAAGTCCATATGTTGCAGTGTGCTGTGTTGCCATGGCATTTAGTATACTGTTCTGGTCATAGTATATTCATAGTCATCAGTTATCATCAGATATTATCATCAATCATCATTGTCTTCAGGGGGATACAGTGACCAAAAAAACATGTTATGAGTTGACTGAACTCAACTGTGGTATTGCATAATTATGTTACAAGTAATAAATTAGCAAACAAGATGTCTGTTGAAGAGGCATAGAAATAAATCGTTTTATGAATAATTCTTTTCTGAAATAAATCTTCTTTTTTTTATTCTTTTTTTACTGAAGAAAATATTTTTTTCTGAATAATTTTTTTCTGAAATAAATCTTGTCCTGAGTTTTTTTTCTGAAATAAATCTTTTTCTGATTTTTTTTCTGAAATAAATCTTTTTCTGAATATTTTTTTTCTGAAATAAATCTTTTTCTGAATATTTTTTTTTTGAAATAAATCTTTTTTTGAATAATTTTTTTCTGAAATAAATCTTGTCCTGATTTTTTTTTTCTGAAATAGAGAGATTTAAATAAATCTTTTTTTTTCTGAAGTAAATCTGAATTTGTTTTTCTGAAAATAATATCAAGGTTACTTTGGTATATCATATATTTATGATGTTTGAAGTGCATTTGTGTTAAATTCCACTTAGACGGAAGTAGGATTGCATGGTTTAAAACAAGCAAATGAAGGATGCACCATTAGCTATACCAAATTCTAACAGTCTCCTCATGAAATTGTCACTTAACACAAAGAAAATAAAAAAAAAGGGACTACATATATATAAAACTTTTTTTTCTCCCTCCATAAAATAGATAAAATAGTTTTAAAAGCTGTATACAGCAACAATTATGACTCATTTTTATTGATATTTTCTGTCCTTATAACGTTTTCTTTTCATAATAATAATGCTAAAATTATTTCTCACTTACACTAACGCCAGATTTTTCGTTGTCTTGACATTTCATTAGTTTTCTTCCATAATTAACTGAAGGAAAACAAAAAACGTCATTTAAGAATCAATATTGGACTTATACAAATATAGGCATTGTAAGAGACATTTGTATTAATTGCAAGAAGTTGAGTGGCTCATAAACATGTAGTATTGTAAAACTGTGAAATACATGGTATAACTGTTGATCTGAGAGAGGTAATATTACAAAATAAGTTATAGGTATACATGTATCTATAAGTCATTGTATATAAATAACAGTTTGTGACTTGTGTAAATGTAGAGTTAGTGACTCAGTCTACTTGGAATATTTTCATACATTGTTTTCCAAAAGAGTAAATAGAGGATATTGAATGAGTGTACATTTAATACTAAATTTATTGAACAAGTTGAGTAAAATGATATTATGCGAGCCTCTGGCAAGCATGATATTGATTTATTGATTTTGATATCAATAAATTTATTGTTGAATCTACACAAATATAATATTCTATTTATCACATACGGTACCCAAAATAAAAACTGTTACAGTGAAAAAGAATCACTTTTACATTGAAGCGCATATAGTGTAAGGCTAAAATTTAAGGGTGTCTTTACGCTATTTTGTATAATGCAAAAATCGTCTTGTCAAAATATATATGCATGTGGTGCAATACCATTTTTATGGAGTGGCAAAACTGGCAGAGTGTGTGATAAATTGAGAATTGCTCATTTTTAAATAATATGTACATGCATAAAAGATACATGTCTAAGTGAATATGAATATTCATGTACATAAATTCATCTAAATGTAAGTTCATACAAATATGAATATTCATGTACATTTACTTAATGTTAGTTTAAAGAAATATTTATATTATGAATATTCATGCAAATTTGTCTAAATAAAAGTTCATACAAATATACATATTATGAACATTTATGTACATTTATCTAGATGTTAGTTCAACAGTTATTCATATTAAGATTATTCATGTACATTTATTTAAATGCTAGATCATATTGATATCTAATGAATTTAAGTCAGTCCTGTAAATATTAGTTCAAACAAATAATGATATTATGAATATTCATGTACATTTATGTAAATGTTAGTTTGTATAAAGATACATTTGTGTGTATTGTATATATTAGTTATATTTTAATTGAGTATTCAATATTTTTCTTATGCACTCTGGAACATGACCTATTAGTTGCAATATACACATGTACAAATTAAACATACATTGTAGTATCAAAGTTATTTGCTATCAACAAATATGGTTGATGTAGCAACACATCAAAATGTAAGATCAATATTGTTGAAGAACCTTTGTGAAAATAAAGCCTCATGCCTCCAGATGAATAAAAATATTTCAAGAAAATCAAATTTGGAAAAAAAATGTACTAAGATTTTATGAAAAGTAAAAAGATTCAAATAAAAATTTACATGTTATGTGCAATTAATGACCATATTTCACTGTATGACTTACACAGTAAGAGCTAATTTTGCATATTTTTGGCCTCTTTTTGGTAATTTATGTGGCATGCAAGTGCTGTTTGCAATGTGTAAATTACTTTATTTGTTCACTTCACGTTATACAATATTTTACTTTTTAATTCGTTTCTTAAAACTTTCATGGAATTTAACAAGAATCTGGGAGTATGCTGCTTTGTGTAATAAATTTCAAACTCCTATTAACATTGCGCATGAATTATGTATGCTGAAATATGATCAGTCACAATTAAACAATTTTACAACAGTTTAAAGGCATACTTTGAAGATATTGTTGATAATATTTATAAAATAACTTTCATAAATATTACATGAATGTAGAAATATCTGGATAATAAGTGATCTCTCGGAAGCATTTAAATCAGCAAAATTACATAAAAATTGCAGACTTTTTAAAATTGAGTCTGTACATGAGGGATAATGAAAAAGTCCAATATTCCTCACGGTCCCCTAGCAATGGCTTGAGTGGGTCTCAATTTTCAAACTTAAAAAGTGCTGAAATCAATTATCCAGAAAGACCAGAAAAATATAACAACACTGAAGTGAAATTATGCTGTATTAAATGTACTTTTTGTCCAGAACTTTACTGTCATACAGACAATATTGAAATTATTTGATTTTATTGTCATGGCAACACACGTGTTTGTTACAGCCACAATTTTATTTTTCATGGAATTGGAGACATTGTTAACAAACATATAAAAAAATATATCAGTGGAAGATATTTCTTGCTTTACAAAAGCTTTGTTTATAACTTAGTGCTAACAAATGTATCACATACATGTAATAAAAGATAAAAGTTATAAACATGCAAGGATATTAAATTGTTTATATTTTTACTATGCTTACAATTTTAGCTAAAAATTTTCTCTTGTAGGAAATTGATATTAAGTAAATTGTCAAAAGGTTTATTCAGTGTTTTTCATTTTTGTACACATATTTGAGGGGTTTTACGTCACACCGACACAGTATAGGTCATATGGCAACGTTCCAACATTACTGGTGGAGGGAGACCTCAGGTGCCCCTCATGCATTATTTCAGGCACGAACGGGCACCTGAGTAGAACCACCGACGTTGCTTAAGCTAGCTCTACAGCTTCCTCACATGAAAGAATCCAAGGTTCCTGTCGGGTCTCGAACCCACAGCGGCGAGGGACAGGTGGTTTGAAGTCAATGATCTTAATCACTTGGCCATGGACGCCCCACTTGACATCAAGTTCAAGCTGTTGTGATGACCAAATTAGTTGTCTGTCTGTCTGTCCACACATTTCCAATTTCATGTACATTTAAATTTTATTCACAGCAATGGTCTTTGCTTATTAACCTTTAAAAGATTTCAAAGATACTATTCCATTAGGAATATATCTTCTAATACTGTGAAATCAATTTCGCGGGCAAGAAATATCTTTGTTTTGTCTAAAAGAACAGTTTGGTTGTTTTTAAAGTTAGAAGAAGTCTGTTTTTGAAAAATGTAAAATGCAAAAAAACTGTAATACAAAAAAAATAATCTTATAGCCCACGAAATAATATTTTGTTTGGAATTAAATTCGTGGATTGACCTATCTACGAAAATTAGTGTCCTTCGAATAATGATTACTTTACATTATATTGTAAACCTTTAAAATGTTCTTCCCCATCTCCATTGGCTTAAACTTGGCATGAAACATCATCTAGTGGACATCGTACAAGGTTGTTAAAATAATGGC